AAAAACAGATCAGACTAGTAGAAAACAAACAGCAACGTGGTAGCCTTAAGCCCAATGAATACAGTAATCACAACAAACATAACTGGTCTAAACATGCTAATTAAAAGATAAAGATTGCTTAGAATTATGCAAAATTAGACCTGCTATATTTTGTTTACAAGAGACACAATTTAAAGATAAGGACACAAAAAGCTGAAAAATAAAGAATAGGTAAAGATGCCATGTAAAGATATCCACCAAAAGAACACTAGGGTAGCTATACCAATATAAAATCAAATGTTATTTCAGATAAGAAGTGTTGCAAAATATATGAAATATCTACTGCAGTGATCACATGGTTTTTATCCTTTATTAACGTGGTCTATCACATTTGTATATGGTGAGCCACTTTGCATACAAAGGATAAATCTCACTTGATCATGGTGAATAATTCTTTCAATGTGCTGTTAAATTCAGTTTGCTAGTATTTTGTTGAAGATCCTATTCATCTATGTTCATCAGGGATATTAGCCTGCAATTTTATTATAATATCCTTGTCTGGCCTTGGCATCTCAGTTATGTTGGTTTTGTAAATGAGGTTAGAAGTATGCTCTCCTCTTCAATTTTTTGAAAGAGTTTGAAAAGGGCAGATTATTATTTTTTCTTTAAATGTTTAGTAGAATTCAACAGTAAAGCCATCAGTGAATTCAACAGTGAAGCCATCCTGGACTTTTCTTTGATAGGAGGTTTTTCATTACTGATCCAACCTCCTTACTCATTACTGGTCTATTCACATTTTCTATTTCTTCATGATTTATTCTTGGAAGGTTATATATATATCAAAGAATTTATCCATTTCTTCTAAGTTATCCTATTTATTGGCATATAACTGTTCATTGTAGTTTCTTATTTTCCTCTATATTTCTGTAGTATTAGTTGCAAAGTCTCATCTTTCATTTGTGATTTTATTTGAGTCTTCTCTGTTTTTTTTTACTTTTACATTTTTACTTATTTGTTTATTTTTAGAGATGTAGTCTCAGTATGCTGCCCAGGCTGGACGCAAACTCCTGGGCGCAAATGATCCTACTGCCTCAGCCTCCAAGGTAGCTGGGACTACAGACATGTAGCTACCATATCTGATTTTCTTTTTTATTAGCTGGTGTAGTTAAAGATTTGTCAATTTTGTTTATCTCCTCAAAAACCCAACTCCTCGTTTCTATTGTTTTTCTAGTTTTTATTTCAATTACTTCTGCTCTAATCTTTATTTTCTTCCTTCTGCTACTTAGTTTGTTCTTCTGTTTCTAGTTCCTTGAAGTGTACCAGTAGGTTGTTTGGGAGGACCTTGTTTTGGTATGTAGGCATCTATGGCTATGAAATTCCCTTTTAGAATTGCCTTTGCTGCATCCCATAAGTTTTGGTATGTTGTGTCGCCATTTTTGTTTGTGTCACTATATTCCTTAATTTGTCTTTAAAGGTCACATATGACAAGCCCATAGCTAACATCATACTCAATGGTGAAAAGTTGAACTATTCTCCTCTAAGATCAAGAACAAGGATGCCCCTGCTTACCACCTGTACTCAGCATGGAACTGGAAGTCTCAGCCAGAGAAATTAGGAAAGAGAAAGAAATAAAAGATATACACATCAAAAAGGAAGATGTTAAATTGTCTTCTGTTTGCAGATGACATGATCTTATATATAGCAGACCTTAAAGACTTATTAGGCTGCGCATGGTGGCTCATGCCTGTAATCCAAGCACTTTGGTGGCCAAGGCAGGTGGATCACCTGAGGTCAGGAGTGCAAGACCAGCTGACCAACATGGTGAAACCCCGTCTTTGAAAAACAAACGACTTTATCAAAAAACTCTTAAAAATAATGAGCAAATTTAGTAAAGTTACAAACTCAACATATGAAAATCAGTGGTGTTTCTATACACTAAAAACAAACTATCCAAAAAAGAAATTAAGAAACAATCCCTTTTACCATACTTACCACCCAAAAAAATACTGAAGAGTAAATTTAACCAAGGACGCAAAAGACCTGAACACTAAACACTATAAAATACTGATTTAAAAAACATCAAATAAGACACAAATAAATGGAAAGCTATTCTGTGTTCATGGAAGGGAAAGTATTGTGAAAATGTCCATACCACCCAAAGCAATTTGCAGCTTCAATGCAATCTGTATCAAAATACCAATGACACTTTTCACAGAAATAGAAAAAACAATTTTGAAATTCATATGGAGTGACAAAAGACCCCAAAGAAGCAAAAACAAACAAAACAAAACAAAGCATGATACTACCTGATTTCAAAATCCCCTATAAAGCTATAATAATCAAAACAGTGTGGTGCCAGCATATAACCATACACGTAGACCAACAGAACAGAATAGAGAGTACAGAAATAAATCTACACACTTATGGTTGATTTTTGACAAAGATTCCAAGAGCACACAATGAATAAAGGATGGCCTCTTCAATAAATGATGCTGGGTAAATTGAATGTCCCCAAATAGAATAATGAAATTAAGACTCCACTCATACTATATACAAAAATTAATACAAAATAGATTACAGACTTAAATGTAAGACCTGAAACTGTAAAACTACTGGAAGAAAATATGGAGGAAAGCTTCATGACACTGATCTGGGCAATAATTTCTTGGATATAACCCCAGATACAGGCAACAAAAGTAAAAATAGGTAAATGGGATTATATTAAATTAAAAAGCTTCTATACAGACAAGGAAATAATCAACAGAATGAAGAGACAACCGACAGAATGGGAGAAAATATTTGCAAACCATATATTAGATATGGGGTTCATCTCTAAAATACATAATGAACCCAACTTAGCAAGACTACCAGTAAATATCCACCTACTTGCAGCTCTTGATCTGCAAAAGACTGAAGACAACTGGCACAGCTGCTCCTTGTACAGACCTTCAGTTAACCTCCTTGTCTTCAGTCCTTCTCCTTCCAGCTCTTTTAAATTGTTAACTACAAATTCATATCCTCTCTGGGGTTCTAATGGCAAACCAATTCCCTCACTGGGAAATAGAACCCCTCTGAAATGTGTCTAGGCAAGTGTTTCTACAGTTTTTCCCACGGGATGCTATCATCTATTTTTAGTTTTCCAAAAATTAGATAAAATTTTTATCTGCTCATGAACTCCCCTTCTCTTTGTTATGGATTAACCTTCTATATTATATAGTATCATTTCAATGAGGTTCTTGAGGGATAGAAGGTGAAAATATGTCCGCAGTCTATACACACACACACACACACACACACACACACACACACACACCAGCCCTTTATTTACGTGACTTCTACTGAGGCTCCCTTAAGGGCAAGGATGTATTGTGAAATGCCTAGCACAATGTCAGGAACACAACAGCTAGTCAAAGGTGTGTGGCTGGTTGGACATGGAAGAAAACAGCTGCAAATGATAGAAAAGCATAATCCTAGATGATAAGTATGTTGATCAAAACCAACTGAGTAAATTTTAAAGGAAGATTAGCTGGATACAATGGTGCTCGGCATAGGGTGAGCTACTTGGGAAGCTGAGGTGGGAGGATCACTTGAGCTCAGGAGTTTGAGACCATTCTGGGAAAAATAGTGAGACTCTTGTATTTTTAAAAAAATATATGTTATTTTAGTGTTAGAAATTAACATAGTTATACCTCAGCATAGCCTTTATGGCTTTGGTAAAGGCAATTAATGAAGCAACTTTACAAAATGTGATTAACTGATACAAAGGTGGTCTTGTAAGCCATAAAACCTTTGTATCAGCATGTGCTAGAAACAGAGCCATAATACTTCACTTAAAATTACCAGGCACAGACAGAGTATTGCTGCTATCAAAGAGAAAAGAGTGAGGTAATTTTTTTTTTTTTTTTTTGAGACGGAGTTTCGCTCTTGTTACCCAGGCTGGAGTGCAATGGCGCGATCTCAGCTCACCGCAACCTCCGCCTCCTGGGTTCAGGCAATTCTCCTGCCTCAGCCTCCCGAGCAGCTGGGACTACAGGCATGCGCCACCATGCCCAGCTAATTTTTTGTAATTTTAGTAGAGACGGGGTTTCACCATGTTGACCAAGATGGTCTCGATCTGTTGACCTCATGATCCACCCGCCTCGGCCTCCCAAAGTGCTGGGATTACAGGCTTGAGCCACCGCGCCCGGCCTAGTGAGGTAATTTTAGCTCTTGGCTCTCACCCAACCAGATAATTCAACTTGGAATATTCCTTACACATTTAAGAACAGCTCTACCCTTATAAGAGCACAACAAGTGACCAGGACATTAACCCGGATTTAGTGTATTAATAAACTTTAAGCTCCTCAAGAATAAGTATTCAATAAATATTTAACGAGTGACTATATTCCTAACATCTGCTCACAATACTGGTTCCTCAGTCAAGAACTAAAGTGTTTAGAGGTGAAAGGCAAATAATCTTATTAATGATACTTTCATTGATAGCCATTATAAAAGTGCCTGCCCCAGATCAGGAACTCAATAAATATTTCTGCAGCTAATGAAATAATTGTAACTTTTTGAAACATTAAAAAGTCTGCTTTTTAAATTGAAGAGTAGCAAACAATTCTGCAAGTATACTAAAAGCTACTGAATTGGACACTTTATATAAAAAGTACTGAACCGGCCAAGGGCGGTGGTTCACGCCTGTAATCCTAGCACTTTGGGAGCAAGGAGGGTGGATCACCTGAAGTCAGGAGTTTCGGACCAGCCTGGCCAACATGGTGAAACCCTGTCACTACTAAAATACAAAAATTAGCTGGGCATAGTAGTGTGCCTGTAATCCCAGCTACTTGGGAGGATGAGGTGGGAGAAATGCTCAAACATGAGAGGTGGAGGCTGCAGCGAGGCGAGATTGTGCTATTGCACTCTGGCCTAGGCAACAGAGCAAGACCCGTCTCAAAAAAAAGAAATGTATTTAACTGTATACTTTAAATTTTATGACATAAAAATTATATCTCAATAAAACTTGTAAATAAACTTACAAGGAAACTTTTCCAGGCCTGCTGAATGACTCTGGCAGCTTTATCCTGCTTTGCAAATTCTAAGTCCTCTTTCCAAGGCATTTGAAATTCCTAAAAGAAAATGAGCAAAAAGGGTACATTTAAAATAATTTTAATTTATTTTTAGCAACAGTCTTGCTCTGTCACCCAGCCTTGAGTGCAGTCGTGTGATCATAGCTCACTGCAGCCTCAAACTGCTGGGCTCAAGTGATCCTCTCGCCTTAGCCTCCTAAATAGCCACTCTAGACATGCACCACTACACCTGGCTTTCTTTTTTTACTTCTTTTTTGTAGAAGTGTGGTCTTGCTATGTTGCCTAGGCTATTGTCAAACTCCTCCTGGCTCGGCCTTCCAAAGTGCTGGGATTATAGGCATGAGCCACCACACCCAGCCTAAAATCATTTTACGTGCTCCATTATAAAACTACCACTAGAGGCCAGGCACAGTGGCTCACACCTGTAATCCCAGCACTTTGGGAGGCCGAGGTGGGTGGATCACGAGCTCAAGAGATCGAGACCAGCCTGGCCAACATGGTGAAAACCCGTCTCTACTAAAAATACAAAAATAATTAGCCAGGTGTGGTGGCATGCACCTGTGGTCCCAGCTACTCGGGAGAATTGCTTGAACCCAGGAGGCAGAGGTTGCAGTGAGTGGAGACTGTGCCACTGCGCTCCAGCCTGGTGACAGAGCAAGACTCCTTCTCAAAAAAAAAAACAAAAACAAAAACAAAAACAAAAAACTACCACTAGAACCCAATGAAAATTAAATAGAGTTGTATAAATAAAACAATTAAAATAATATTTTATATCAGAATAATAAAAATAAAAGACAAGAGTCTTTCTCTGTTGCCTCGGCTAGAATGCCATGGCAGAATCAGAGGTCACTGAAGCCTTGAACTCTTAGGCTCAATCGATCCTCCTGCCTTACCCTCCTGAGGAGCTGGGACTACAGGCACATGCTACCACGCCTAGCTCATTTTAAAAATGTTTTGTAGAGACAGGTTCTTGCTGTGTTGCCCAGGCTGGTCTTGAATTCCTGTACTCAAGTGATCCTCCTGCCTCTGCCTCTGAAAGTGCTGGGATTACATATAGGAGCCACTGCACCCAGCCAAAGGTAGTCACCAAATATTGATGACTTAATATGTTCTTTGTTTTTCCCAATTCCAGCGACAACCCTAAATAGCAGATTTTACTAATCTGCTTGTGTTAGAGATGAGAAGCCTAAGCTTTAGGACCTAAGATCAAATAGTAATTAAACCAGTTGAAAGCTTAAATTCTGGGCTGAATACAGTGACTCATGCCTGTAATCCCATGGTTTTGGGAGGCCAAGGGAGGAGGATTGCTTGAGGTCAGGAGTTCAATACCAGCCTGGGCAACATAGTGAGACCCCCATTTCTACAACAACAACAAAAAGCTGGGCAGGTGGCACACACTGTAGTCCTAGCTACTTGAGACGCTGAAACAGGAGGATTGCTTAAGCCCAGGAGTTCAAAGCTGCAGTGAGCTATGATCACACCCCTGCACTCCAGCCTGGGACACAGAATGAGACCCTGTCTCTCTAAAACTAATAAAAATTTATCTGAACTGGTGCATGTAAAATGCAAAACATGTAAGGCTTTACAAATCCCAAAGCCCTGACCTATTTAAACATAAAACACACATCTAATGTGTATGCTATGTTTAGAAAGACAGAGGCTAAACAGAAAAACTGTCAAAAAGGATATGCCATTCATAAAAAAAGAAAGAAAAATGTATTTATGTATTTCACAGTTTGTCATTTTCCTTTTTGTTGTTTAAAGTTATCCAGATGCTTAAAACTAAAGGTATTTTCTTCCTAATTTGGTAAACTGTTGTTTTTTTAAATTGACATTTTTAAAAGTTGGAAGAAGGATGGAAAAAAACTTATGTCTTTTTTGCTTTCCCTACAAATAGCCTTTATAATACAGGAGGCAAGGGGAAATAGGTTAAGTCTTTGGGCTCTGACGTAAGATAGACCTGGGTTTAAATCTCAACAAATTCTACTTCATCCTTAGCTGTGTGATCTTGCAAAAGTTACTTAACTCACTCAAACTTCAAGTTACTCACCTGTAAAATAGGGGGACTCATTGTACCTAACTGACAGAATTGTGAAGATTAACTCAGATAACACAGGTAAAGCATTTAGTATAGTTTCTGACCCACGGTAGCCACTCAATAAATCCTATTTATTTTCCAAAATAAAAACTATTCATGTGCATTATTCCAATTAGAAAACTGGGGTAATATTTAAGTACAATTATTCTCTTAATTTAAAAATAACTATTAGCACAAATGAGAATAAGGAATGATATTTCAGGTCTAAAAGATTTGTTAATTTTTTTTTAGATAGAATTTTGCTCTGTCACCCAGGCTGGAGTACAGAGACATCATCTCAGCTCACTGCAACCTCTGCCTCCCGGGTTCAAGTGATTCTCATGTCTCAGCCTCCTGAGTAGCTGGGATTACAGGCATGCGCCACCAAGCTTGGCTAATTTTTGTATTTTCAGTAGAGACAGTTTTACTCTGTTGGCCAGGCTGGTCTCGAACTCCTGACCTCAAGCAATTCACCCGCCTTGGCCTCCCAAAGTGCTGGGATAACAGGCATGAGCCACTGTGCCCAGCCTGTTAATTTTGATCAAAGGATAGTATTTTGAGAAATACTCTTGCTAGGCAGCAGGTGGAAATAGAGAGTATAATTTATCTGTATTTCAGGACACTTCAGGAAAAAATTGGTTTCCTTGCAAATATCGTGAGAATCAGTTTTAATAATTTTTATTATTAAAAATTATTGTTTTTTAAATTGTCACTATACTACTAAAAGAGACAAATGTAAAAGGTAGCTTTGCCATCTGAAATTTAGCATAACTTTAAAAACTCACACCACAAGTTCAGTTTTTAAATGTGAGAAAAAATAGAATAACTATAATGAATTTTAAAATACAGTGGTCACCTTATTATTTTCATGTTTTCTTGTCCATGTTCTTTTTCACTGACCAACATACAGAATATAGTTATTTTGATCAGTTACAAATAACCGTAGAATCAGGACAATTAAAAAACAGCATTAGAGATATATGTAAATATTAATCCTTATTTAACAGCTCATTACTGTTTGAAATCCAAAGTTATTCATAATACTGTCTAGATTTGTTTACTTTTAAAGTTATTATATAAATAATACAGAAATTCAAACAATACAGAACTATGGAGCAGAAAAATAAAACTTGCCCACCTCTGCTTCTTCTAACCCACTTCTCTCTTCAATGGCTATGTGTTATAATTGTTACAGATCTTTTCTAATATATTTAGAATTTTAAAACATGTATATGTGTCTGTATATACACACACACATACATACTAACACATATAGATTTGTTTGCATTAACATGATCGAACTACACATATTTTCTTTTTCTCTTAATAACCTAAGGAGACTTTTCCATGTTAATACATACAGATCTTGCTCATTTTTTCATAGTTGCACAGTATTTCTAACTGGGTATGTCATTATTTACTTACTCTTTCCTCCATTATTGGACATTCAGATTGTTCCTTTTTCCTAACTCCAAAATGAATATTCTTATACATATATTTGTGTACATTTGTAGCTGTTTTTTTTTTGAGACAAGGACTTGCTCTGTTGCCCAGGCTGGAGTGCAGTGGCAGTATCTTGGCTCACTGCAACCTCTGCCTCCTGGGCATCTCAGCCACATGCCTGGCCAACTTTTGTATTTTTAGTAGAGATGAGGTGTTGCCATGTTGGCCAGGCTGCTCTTGAACTCCTGGCCTCAAGTGATCTGAGTGCCTTGGCCTCCCAAAGTGTTGGTTTTTTTTTTTTCCCACAATATGCATATAGTTCAGCTATATACAATATAACTTCAAAATTTACAATATATACAAAATTTATAAAAAATAAAACAGTATGCATATTAAAACCTAACACTGTCAAACTGTCCTCAAAAATGGTTTCCAATTTATACCCATACACATTCTATGGGAATGCTTGATTCTAAATTTTAGAAAAGTATAAAACTAAACACAAATTAGATATTAGGACTATAATAAGTCTTTTAATATTCTTTCCAAGAGAGTTTAGAGAATGCCAAAAAAGTGTGTCATAAATGACACCATTATATATTTATGAATACATAAAATATTGAGGAAATATATTCCAGCATTCAAAATTATCTAATTCAGAAACAAACATGAAGTTCTACAATTTCATATTCAATTATGTCAAATATTGGTTCCAAGGACAAGTAAATAGGGGGAAAAAAGGAGATTTGGACATATAGTCACTAGTGACACACAGGCACTGTTTCAGTGGAGTAAGCAGGGAAGGAAGCTTAGATTGAGGATGCAGAAAAGTTGAGACAGTAAGAAGGGTAGTAGTTCTTTGGAGTGCTATAAGGAAGCAGAAAACTGGGGTGCAGCTGCAGACTGAGAATGGATAAAGTTTTTTTAAAAAAATGAGAGATTCTAAAGCATGTTAAAATGTACCATCAGTAGTGAGGGAGAAATGAAAGTGAAGAACTTAGAGGCAAAAAAGAGGAAGTTAAAGGGTAAAACCTTTGAATAGGTGTTAAAAGGACACCATCCGGAGCTGAAAGGAGAGTGGGACGTTGCTAGCTTCAGATAAGAAATAAGATTGGCTCATGCCTATAATCCCAGCATTTTGGGAGGCCGAGGCAGGTGGATCACAAGGTCAAGAGATCGAGACCATCCTGGTCAACATGGTGAAACCCCGTCTCTACTAAAAATACAAAAATTAGCTGGGCATGGTGGTGCGTGCCTGTAGTCCCAGCTACTCAGGAGGCTGAGGCAGGAGAATAGCTTGAACACAGAAGGCGGAGGTTGCGGTGAGCCGAGATCGCGCCATTGCACTCCAGCCTGGGTAACAAGAGAGAAACTCCGTCTCCAAAAAAAAAAAGAAAAAAGAAAAAGAAATAAGATTGACTTCATGTGGTTATTACGATGCTTCAAATAAATTAACCAATGTGAAAACAGTTCATAAGTTTTAATATACTAAAATGTATTATTAGGCTGGTTGCAGTGGCTCACGCCTGTAATCCTAGTACTTTGGAAGGCCAACATGGGAGGATCACCCTAGGTCACAAGTTCGAGACCAGCCTGGCCAACATGACGAAACCCTGTCTCCACTAAAAGTACAAAAATTAGCCAGGTGTGGTGGCACACACCTATAGTCCCAGCTACTCGGGAGGCTGAGGCAGGAGAATTGCTTGAATCCAAGAGGCAGAGGTTGCAGTGAGCTGAGATCGTGCCACTGCACTCCAGCCTGGGCAAGAGAGTGAAACTCCATCTCAAAAACAAAAACAAAAAAACCCCAGAAAATATAGTATCAAACAACTCCTCAGGCAATGAAGTATTTTACTACACCCATGTGCCACTTGTAGATTCTGAGATAACGATTTTGCAAGCTTATTATATCCCGTCAATAAAATTTTTTATTATAACAGATGATGTTTTCACTGGTCTATTTTTACTCTTCGCAGAAAAAGGCCTACCAGATGTGTTTGGATGCTCGGTTTCACTTTAAAAGCAGCAAATAATTTTTAATTTGCTGGGATTGGAACATGTATACTTCCTGTTTTGTTTCCTCTACTAAATTTATTGAATAAACAAATGATTCTTGTGGCCTGTATAAGTTTCGTAATTTCCCTTTTCCTTTTTACCCGTAGTCCTTGATACTGAGGACGGAAGAGGAAAAACAACTAGTAGCCTATCCTTTAAAAACGCCTTTCCCTTTTCTGTCTCTCGAAAAATGAAAAGACGTAAAACCACTTCCTGGGTGGAATGGGAGGGGGAAAGGGGAAGAAATGAATAAAAATCTAAAGAAGGTTAAAGGGTACTTCCCGGTCAGCGGGAAGGCGGACGGAGTATTATCTTTGCGGAGGGCTGGGGAGTGGGGATGTGTAAAGGCGCCACAGGAGCAGCAAGGGCCTGTCAATCATACCGACGCAACTTCACCGAGGCGAGGAAAGGAAGCTCTGAGGAACGGGCTCCTCCCGGGCAGGATTGCAAACTAGGTGGAGGCCTTGCTACGGGGCTTTAGAGGAATGAAACGTCCTTAAGGGGGACGGATGGGGCACGAATATCAAGGGTATGGGTTCTTTAGGGCCTTGAAACAAGGAAGGCTCAAACCAGTACGAATAAAGGCTAGCGGAAGAGTAGTACCGGCTGACGGCGGGGGACACTTTTCCCCGCTGCTGCCAATTGCTGCTGGCCCGGGCGGCGCTTGACTCCTAGGAAACGTCGCAGGCGGAAATGACGTAACTCAGTCCGTTCTGTCCCGCCCCATTGCCCTCCTAGCCCCGCCTTCTAAGCCCCGCCTCTCCCCCTCGGCCTTTCCCTCACCTGCACCCTGTCCAAGTCCAGGGGATCCAGAACAGCCTATGAAGACTGCTGGATCTGTTAGAAGCCCGCCTTCGATTATCGGTAGCTTTGAGGCAAAGGATTTTGGAAGGGAAGCCAATAATGAAATATTTTCTATTTAATTGATTTTTTTTTTTAACTTTTTTTTTTAGGGTCTTGCTCTGTGGCCGAGGCTGGAGTGCAGTGATGCAATCTCGGCTCACTGCAGCCTGGAACTCCCCCGGCCCAGGTGATTCTCCCACATTAGCCTTCCGAGTAGCTGGGACCACAGGAGTGCACCACCACGCCAGGCTAATTTTTCTGTTTTCATTAATAGTGGCGACAGGGTTTCTCCATGTTGCCCAGGCTGGTCTGGAACTCCTGGGCCTCCCAAAGTGCTGGGATTACAAGCCTGGCCTATTTAATTAGTTTATTATTAATTTGAAAATAAGAAAACTGATCCTTCTATCAATTTGACAGGTCTTGCTCAAGGTCAAAGAACATGTGACTTGCAGTCCAACATTATTTCTAAATGTAAGCTTTTTAGCTGGTAAAGCTAAACTGGTTTTAAGTGAAAACAGGTGACCTCTTGAATGAGTTTTCAAATGACCTTAAATGCAAGCACTGCTTATCTAAAGCAAGTCTGACTTACTTGAATTCTGAGTCTGACACTTGGGCAGTGCTTTAGTTGGTCACAGATTGTTGCAATGTAAAAAAATCTTGTTTAGAACTGCCCAGTTCTGCTACATTTCTCCTATGTTCATGCATGGATTATAATTATAAGGAAGATAAACTTTTAAGGGGGGAAAAAACACCTGAAGAAACATTTTCCTATATAATGAAAACATTTGTACAGAAAAAATTCTTGGTAGGTTAACTCAGTGACTCACTGAGCTTCCAGAGTTCTTTAAAGTCATTATCGCAATCATAAGCAAGGGTCAGCTTCAGGCTTCAGTTCCTCTTCATGTAGTTACCTTGATGCTCTCATACACAGTAGGTATGAACAGTAGACTGTAAAAACATAGTCATGGAAATAGCATCTGGGTCTTAATTTTCAATCTAATACAAACTAACTTAAAAAAATCTTAAATTCAGGCCACATGTGTAATTACAGGCTCACACCTGTAATCCCAGCACTTTGGGAGGCGGAAGTGGGTAGATCAATTACCTGAGGTCAGGAGTTCGAGACCAGCCTGGCCACCACGGTGAAACTCCCATCTCTACTAAAAATACAAAAATTAGCCAGGCATAGTCTTGGGCGTGATGTCACGCCTGCCTGTAGTCCCAGCTGCTTAGGAGGCTGAGGCAAGAGAATCGCTCGAACCTGGGGGGCAGAGGTTGCAGTGAGCCAAGATGGCACAATTGCACTCCAGCCTGGGCAACAGAGCGAGACTTCCTGTCAAAAAAAAATTTTTTTTAAATTAAAACTACAAAACTACACAGCAATGTAGAATGTACTTAATGCCACTGAATTGTATAATTAAAAGTAGTTAGAATGATAAATGCACTGTATTTTACCACAATTTAAAAATTTTAAATTAAAAACTACAAAACTAAGCCAGTATATAATTCAGAACAAAAATTCCTAAGTGTACAGGATGAAATATGAAAATAAATTTAAGGTATATTGCTGTTTATATATAATTTTTATTAGATTGGTGCAAAAGTAATTGCGGTTTTTGCCATTATGTTTCATGTTTAATGGCAAAAACCCCAATTACTTTTGCACCAACCTAATAAGATAAACGCTGCATATTTTTAATGTAGTGCTTATCTGAATTATTTTAAAAAGTATTTACAATAGTCACTATTGAGTACTTAAGTTACCTCTAACCCAATCCAGAAGAATTAGGCAATTTCTACATAATAGGCTCCAACATTTTCTTATTACTCTAATACATGTAAAAATTGTTCAGTTCTTTGAAATTATCTTTCTTTAAAGTAGCCACAAGGGATCATTAAGACTAGAAACTCTCAAGTGTTAGGTTTATTCATTTACATACACCTGCTTAAATCTAGGAACAGTTTACTAAGAAGCAGAACTTGGAAGAACTTCTGGGTGGTTTCACAGAAATCGTTCCTTCTTTCCTTCTCTCTGTTCCCCTCTCCACTCATTCTCTTTCTCTTCTGTTTCTCTCCTCTTTATCTTACTACTGTTACACAACTATCATATTATATTTATGAAATTAATATTCTTGCTTTCCACTTACAAGGCAAAGATTTTTCTTTATAGATCATGCAAAGAGAAAAGGAAACAAAAATGAACTGGCATGAGAAAAGGGGAAATATTTATAGTGCCAAGGGAGAAGAGTCACAGTTATATGCTATTTCTTTCCTCTCTGCTTTGGCAGTAGAACAGACTCCAACAATAGAGGACTCCAAGGCTGTTCCCTGGATGTGAGCATGGAATCTTTTATAATCGTGGAAAATATCTCACGTAGTAGAAAAACAATGTCACACATGAGGAGTGGGTGTGGGTCAAAGGCACAGGTCCTGCAGTGGTCCTAAAGGAAGCCAGAGGGACCTCCAACCAGGCATCAATCCTCTTGTTGAGACTTAGCAGTTTGAAGAGACTAGGGGAAGGGAGTTGGCATCTTTAGCTAATTCTTGGATGAGAAATCTGTCCTCTTCACTCAATGACTTTTGTTATGCCAGGGGACTGTTTGTCTTCTGTGTACCCTTGTATTTTCACCATCAACAAAAATAATGGTGCCACGCTTAAATATTTTTTTCTTTTTCTTTTTCTTTTTTTAGACTGTACCCACCCAATGAGTTCTCCTTGCCTGCTACCTAGACAGAGCCAATTTATCAAGACAGGAGAATTGCAATAGAGAAAGAGTTTAATTTTTGCAGAGTCGGCTGTATGGGAGAACAGAGTTTTATTATCACTCAAATCGGTCTCCTTGAAATGTCAGGGATTGTGATTTTTAAGGATAATTTGGTGGGTAGGGGATCAGAAAGTGGGGAGTTGCTTATTAGTTGGGTCAGAGATGAAATCATAGGGAGTCGAAACTGTCCTCCTTTGCTGACTCAGTTCCTGGATCAGGGCCACAAGACCAGATGAGCCAGTTTATTGACTTGAGTGATGCTAGTGGAATCATCAAGTGCAGGATCTGCAAAATATCTCAAGCACTGGTTTTAGGTCTTACAATAGTGACGTTATCCCCGGGAGCAATTTGGGGAGGTTCAAAATATGGCAGCCTCTAGATGCATGACTCCTAAACCATATATTCTGTCTTGGAGCTAATTCGTTAGTCTTGCAAATGCAGTCTAATCCCCAGGGATGAAGACGGCTTGTTTTGGGAAAAGGCTGTTATCATCTTTGTTTCAAAGTTAAACTGTAAACTAAGTTCCTTCCAAGGTTAGTTTGGCCTATGCCCAGGAATGAACAAGGACGTTTTGGAGGTTAGAAGTAAGATGGAGTTGGTTAGGTCAGATGTCTTTCACTGTAATGATTTTCTCATTTATAATTTTTGCAAAGGTGGTTTCAAGAAAGGATCTTGCTCTGTTGCCCAAGCTGGAGTGCAGCGTCATGATCATAGCTCACTGTATTCTCAAACTCCTGGGCTCAAGCAGTCATCCCACCTCAGCCTCCCAAGTAGCTGGGACTACAGGTATTCACCACCGTGTCCAGCTAATTTTTAAATTGTTATTGTTGAGTTGCAGGACTCACTATGATGCCAGGGCTAGTCTTAAACTCCTGGGCTTAAGTGATCCTCCTGCCTTGGCCTCCCAAAGTGCTGACGTGTGAGCCACTGTGACCGGCCTTTTCTTTTCTTCTGATGCTATTATAGATTTATGCCCCCTAGGGACTGAGTGGTGATTTTGGTTCATTTATTCATGAAGACATAATAGAATCAAAACTACCCAATGCAGTTATAGAAATACCAGGGCTCTAAGTAGTTACAACTTCTTTCTCTAAAAAAAAAAGTATCTTTTAAAATTTTTATTTAGAAAATTCATTTTATTTAAAAAGTATATATAGATAGATCCCATGATATAAAGTTCTAAACATAGATTTTAAAAGAGCATAATGGAAAATATAAATATCTATTTTCTTTTCCTATTTATATCTTTTGTGCATTTATTTTCTTTTCTAAGGTTGGCAATTTTCTATATTTTGCTATTTGATCCACACTTAGAGCAAAAAAATTAAATATTATAGAAAAATATAAAGCAAAAAGTAAAAATTCCCTTCACTTCATCTTCTCCTCAGATATTGGTGAATCTCCTTCCAGACTTTCAACCACATAGAACATTTTTGTTTACAAACCAGAAAAACCATTAACACTTTTTAAAGGCTGTGGCTGAATTGATGAGATGAAGAATTATCTAGATTAAGGCTGCTAACTCCCTATAGATTTTTTTTTTTTTTTTTTGAGACAGAGTTTCCCTCTTGTTGCCCAGGCTGGAGTGCAATGGCACAATCTTGGCTCACCGCAACCTCTGCCTCCCAGGTTCTAGCGATTCTCCTGCCTCAGCCTCCCGAGTAGCCGGGATTACAAGCATGTGCCACCACACCTGGCTAATTTTGTATTTTTAGTAGAGATGGGTTTTCTCCATGTTGGTCGGCCAGCTCTCAAACTCCCAAACTCAAGTGATCCGCCCACCTCGGACTCCCAAAGTGCTGGGATTACAGGCATGAGTCACTGTGCCTAGCCCCTACAGAATGTTTTGAGGGGCTCCACTTTTTTTCTTAAGCACATCCTTCCTGTTCCACTCCCTGAAGCTGCCTGGTTTATCTCAACTTGCTTTTAACTATTAGGCCTGTCTGACAGAAGCAATATACATTTAAAAAATTTAAGATGTTTAAAATGCCATCAGCCATTAGCACCTGGGATTCGAGACAGAAAGGTATGAGGCAGGCAACCTTTCTTTCCATAAACCCAGTTTTGACAAGCCTCAAACACTACGTACAATATTTAAGACACAGATTCATTAGGTAAGGTCTCAGGACAGCTTGCCCTTTATTTAATACTTGTGCACTTGTGGTTTTGCACAATGGATGGGTATTAGAGTTTACCTTAGATACTTGGCAGTGATTACACTGTGCTGAAATTGGTTTTGCTTGGTTAAAAAATTCTGTTTATTGTTCTAAAGAATAGATATGACCACTTTAAAAATAGTTACATTGTTTGCCATATTAAGTAAATATTTCAGTTAGTAGAGTACATGTTTTTATTTTCATTTTTCGAGATAGAGTCTCACTCTGTTGCCCAGGCTGGAGTGCAGTGGTGCGATCTTGGCTCACTGCAACCTCCGCCTCCCAGGTTCAAGTGATTCTCCTGCCTCAACCTCCCAAGTAGCTGGGATTACAGGCATGCGCCACCATGCCCAGCTAATTTTTGTATTTTTAGTAGAGTTGGGATTTCACCCATGTTGGTCAACCTGGACTCGAACTCCTTACCTCAAGTGATCCTCCCACCTGGGCCTCCCAAAGTGGGATTACAGGTGTGAGCCACTGTGCCTAGCCAGAGTACATATTTTTTTTCTTTTCTTCTTTTGTTTTTTATTTAGTTTTGATTTTCAGAGTACGTATTTTTAAATTGGGAATGCAGATAGCTCTTGTTTTACAGCATCGCTTTACTGAACCTAACCTGGGACTGATGGTTACAAGGAGTATGTAATGAGCTAACAGGCTATGAATCATAAATCCTGACCCTGTCCTAAAAGACAGAGGAAATTTCCAAAGTCTTTGTCTTAGCAATGACACCCAGTGAAATAGAATAGTGGAGCGAGGAATGGAAGCTTGCCTTAATTGTTGGCCTATAGCTGAATCCCAAGATACCAGGCTTCCTGACAATTGTTGTAGAGGTTTTCAAGGATCCCCTTTTCATCTTAAAAATAATGAAAGCTTGGCCGGGCGCGGTGGCTCAAGCCTGTAATCCCAGCACTTTGGGAGGCCGAGGCGGGTGGATCATGAGGTCAAGAGATCGAGACCATCCTGGTCAACATGGTGAAACCCCGTCTCTACTAAAAATACAAAAAATTAGCTGGGCATGGTGGCGCGTGCCTGTAATCCCAGCTACTCGGGAGGCTGAGGCAGGAGAATTGCCTGAACCCAGGAGGCGGAGGTTGCGGTGAGCCGAGATCGTGCCATTGCACTCCAGCCTGGGTAACAAGAGCGAAACTCCGTCTCAAAAAAAAAAAAAAATGATAATAATAATAATAATAATAATAATGAAAACTCTTCACCTACAGTTATCTTTGACCTATTCAATATATAGATAATGAATGATGACTATAGCATACCTTCATCTATGTTAATAACTGTATTGTCTTTGATGGGTATACAATCAGATAGATCGGGAATAACTAGCTTAAGGCACAATTTCTCCTTAATGTTGTCTCAGGCTTTGGCAAAATTTAGTTTAAAAGTTATGAGTAGTGCTTTAAAAAATATTCCCTCCACAGTCTCCATGCCACCTTTAATAACGGAGTCATCCTCTTCTTCAGTATCCTTATCAGACCTTTTAAAAGAAGCCGTTACTATAAAAGCCAAAAGCAGCTTGTAAGAGAAGACATTATGCAATGACAGGGAGGAAAAAAAACCCTGAACAAATATTTTCTCTTCATAATTGGAAAAAGTGAACAGGGGATAGAAATAAACCAATAAAATACGTAAACCAATAAATATGTAAACAGTTTTACAGAGGCTGATTTATATTTTGGCAAGCCTCTCTATCTGCTGTGATCCCCAAGTTTTCCTTTTAGAGAAACTATGATGCTGATAATAGCAGTTTTTACTCAAAAGATCTTCATGTCCAAAAATATTCGGTAATACTTGTTCAAATACAGGTTGAACATCCCTCATACAAAAATCCAAAATCTGAAATACTCCAAAATCCAAAACTTTTTGAATGCTGACACCACATGGGTCACTAAGATAGTGACACCTTTGCTTTCTGACAGTTCAATGTATACAAACTTTGTTTCATGCATAAAATTATTAAAAGTATCATATAAGATTACCTTCAGGATATGTTTACAAGGTATATATGAAACATAAATGAATTTTGTGTTTAGACTTGTGTCTCAGCCCCAGCATATCTCATTATATATATGCAAATATCCCCAAATCTGAACTCTGAGACACTCCTGGTCCCAAGCATTTCAGATAAGCAATGTTCAACCAGTATGGCTACATCCATCTACACATATAAAGCCACTGAGAGAAGCAGTCCACTTGGTAAAACCTTCTGTACTGTCCTTCACAGCTTAGATTTGATCTTTACTTAAAGATGTAGCTGGGATATGCAGGAGTGTGAATCTGGGCTGACTCAAAGCTCTTCTCTTGAAGGCTTTTTCCTGTGGCACTGGCAGATGGCTGTGCTGTCTTCTGGCTGAGGAACAAGTTCCATTCCATCACGTACTTCGGGTTTGCTGGACTGGCGCTCGGCATATTTCTGAAATGTGGGTTTAAAGGCAACTGAAAGGTTAGTCCCCACTTCATTCTGCTGACTCCTCCACCCACTCCCATCCCCAGCCATCTTTTCTAGTTGTTGTGTGTCTTCAGACTAAAACCAAAGGTCTGGTTTATTTTAGTACTAAAGTTACATTTTAACTTTAGCTATCATAGGCACTAGTGATAATTCGTAATCTAGAAAGAAACCCCATTCCACAATTTTATGTATAGGTTGGAAGCCTCTGCAAAAGGCACACGTCCCTACCTGAAACAAACAGCAGCTCTCAGCATTTCTCTTCCACTTGTTAATGAATAATTCACTTGGCTGAATACTCAAGCCGATAGTCATACACATTTTTAAATGGCAACAGGTCTGTGAAATGTTCCTCTACTGGGACCACTGACTGAAGTATTTCTATAAATGAAGTTTTTTGTTTGTTTGTTTTTTTGAGACACGGTCTCACCCTGTCACCGAGGCTGAAGTGCAGTGGTGTGATCTCAGCTCACTGCAGCCTCTGACATCCTAGGCTCAAGCGATCCTTCCACCTCAGCCTCCCAAGTAGCTGGGACCCCAGGCACATACCACCATGCCCAGCTAATTTTTTAATTTTTTTGTAGAGATGGGGTTTCACCATGTTGTCAGGCTGGTCTTCAACTCCTGGACTCTAGCAATCCACCTACGTTGGCCTCCCAAAGTGCCGGAACTATAGGCATGAGTCACCCTGACCAGCCATAAACTGGATATTTCAGTTCAATGATGCCATGTCCATTTCACCGTACGTTCTTGGTACTGGACCAAATGCAACAAAATGCTGACACAAGTAGATGAGCCTAATTAATATTTTAGGGAGGGAAATTCCTACTATTAAAATTAAAACTATTTGGGAGGCTGAGGCTGGAGGATCACTTGAGGAACCTGGGCAACACAGCAAGAGCTTGTCTCTAAAAAAAAATAAACAAATTCACTGAGCGTGGTGGTGTAGTCCCAGCTACTAGCGGGAGGCTGAGGTGGGAGAGTGGTATAGTCCCAGCTACTAGGGGCAGGCTGAAGAGGGAGAGTGGGATGTTGAGGCTGCAGTGAGCTGTGATCAGGCCACTGCACTCTAGCCTGGGTGACAGAGTAAGACTTTTTTTTTTTTTTTTTGAGATGGGGTTTCACGCTTGTTGCCCAGGCTGGAATGCAATGGCACCATCTGGGTTCACTGCAACCTCCGCCTCCCAGGTTCAAAAGATTCTCCTGCCTCAGACACCTGAGTAGCTGGAATTACAGGCGTGACCCACTGCGCCCAGCCAAGAAATTGTCAAAAAACAAAAACAAAAACAAAAAAACTTCTAACAATTAAAGCTAGACCAGCAGATGCCAACAGAACCAACTTAAGGGGAGGAAGGGGCACTTCTAGTAAATAGTGTAACATCAATTTAATTTTTCTATGAAAAAAAAATATGAGAGGGTAGTATTCACAAGCATCTAGGGAAACTTACTTTTATTATGCCTACAGAAAAATAAAGTTAGATTAAAAACAAGAACATAATTTCCTTTCTTTCTTCCTGTCTAGATTTTTCTGATTAAAACTCAAGGTATTTACTCGAAAGACCAATCCGTGGATTCCCAATAGACACAGTACTTCAGGATTTAGCCCTAAGTGTTAGAACTATTATATATATTTTTCATTAGTTTGTTTGCTATACCAAGCTAAATACTTGCTTTCTGCCTTGTACTGAAAAAGGCACAAATCTTAAGTATCAAGGAGAATAAGGAGGCAACATTTTGAGTAAAAAGAGATGTTAATGATCTCCAGTCCAACCCTCTTTTTTTTCAGATAAGTAAAAATGTTTTTCTCTGATGTTCCGGAACACCTACACTAGGAATTCCACAAGGCATTTTATAAAAGAGAGCTGAGAAGATCTGCTAATCTATATTTGTGAAGGCCACAGCATCGTTTTTCATAATATAGAATAAAGATGAAAATATAGAGGCCATGGCCGGGCTTAGTGGCTCACACCTATAATCCTAGCACTTTGGAAGGCCAAGGTGGGCGGATCACCTCAGGCCAGGGGTTCAAGACCAGGCTGGCCAACATGGCGAAACTCAGTTTCTACTAAAAATACAAAAATTCACCAGGTATGTTGGCACAAGCCTGTAATCCCGGCTACTTGGGAGGTTAAGGCAGGAGAATGTTTGAACCTGGGAGGCAGAGGCTGCAGTGAGCTGAGATTGAGCCATTGCACTCCAGACCGAGTGACAGAGAGAGCTTCGTCTCAAAAAAAAAAAACAAAAACAAAAAAAAGGAGGCCACCCAACGAAGACTTAGCACTGTCTTTCCCTAGACTAGTGCCTCAGCTTAGCCAGCCGGTCCATAGGCTGACTCTCCGAGCCCTTCAGGAAGCCAGGTAGGAAGTACACAGGCCAAGCACCTGTGGTCTGAAGACACCTGACCCAGCAGTGTGAACGGACACTCTGAACCGACCTGCAGCACTTGGTAATAGTAGCAGTAAAGCCTGTGCGGCTGTAGTAGGTCCCTAGCCATCAGTTGTCCTTCTTTTGCAATCTTCTTGGCTTCTTCATCATTTTCCTGAAAGGTTGGAAAAAAAAAATGAAAATTACTACTGTGACCCATAAAGAAAGTGAGGGCTAAGTGTGAGGTGGAACAGAGGTGGGGTGCAGAGTGAAGAGCATGGGAAAGACAAAATATAATGGAATTATAACTTAAGAATGAAGCTACAGGGGCCGGGTGCAGTGGCTCACGCCTGTAATCCCAGCACTTTGGGAGCCTGAGGCTAGAGGATCACTTAAGGTCAGGAGTTTGAGATCAGCCTGGCCAACATGGTGAAACCCCACCTCTACTAAAAATACAAAAATTAGCTTGGGTGTGGTAGCAGGCGCCTATAATCCCAGATACTCGGGAGGCTGAGGTACGAGACTCCTTGAACCTGGAGGCGGAGGTTGCAGTGAGCAGAGATGGTGCCACTGCACTCCAGCCTGGGAGAAAGAGTGAGACTCTGTCTCAAAAAAAATAAACAAACTAACTAATAAATAAAAGAATGAGGCTATGGGAAGAGACAGAGTATTTTCCTAGACATCCCTGTTATAGAGAAATGATCACAAGTTTGGTCCCTTTTCCACAGTACCAGGAAACCTCTCCTTCTCCCCACAGTGCAACAACCCACGTGCAGCCCCTATTGTGATCATCTTGATACCTTCCTGGCCACCCAGGAAGTATTCTTTGGCTTCCTCATCTGTCCCACCAGCCTAGTTCCTCTCTGCATGATAGTAGAATTAATCCATTTTCATTTTATAACATCTTTTAAAAGCTCCTTACAAATTTGCAGTCGGAACCAAAAAGTTCTGTTATAAAATGGTAGCTATAAAAGACTGCATTGCTTTTGTAACCGAAAAATTCAGTCATTAGTACCTACAGGCTGTTCATTCAGTACCATTAATAGTCAGCATTCCTAATTATACTTTTGGAAAATAGTTAATCTACCATGCTGCCCACAGAAAAGCCATTTGCGAGCTATTGTGGCTCTTATGAAGGGTCACAACACTGATCCTGCCTCAGGCATCTGATTATTTCCATAACCATATATTGTTTCTTAGAAACTTAGTATAAAGTCTCAAAATGGAAGGGTACATTTTTGTAGTTTTATAATAAAATGGAACAACTTTTTAATTCCTTTCCTTTTAAAAAAGGAATTCCTATTTTATGGGAAATGTGATTCTTGGGATGTTGTATAACATCCATTCATTAAAAATTTGTGCCTTTTCTTCTAACTGGGGTAAGAAAAGAGTACTATAATTGGCTTAAATGTTTTCTTGTTCATAAAGCGCTTTAACTCAGGTCTTTGAATTAGTAATTTTCATTTTGTGTGTTCTTGTTTGTATGTGTAAACAGCATTTAGAAAATCTGTATTTTATATAATGCTGGAGTTCCAATCTTCTGAAAATCTTCCAAAATGTTGAGAGAGGGTATGCAAAATGATTCTGATGCTGATTCTTTAGATACTTCAAGGGAACAGTAATTTCAGAAAATAATATTTCTTTCAATTCCATTATGTCAAATCAAATTTTGTTGTGATGGAACTCATCTAACTAACACTGGTGAATCTGTTATTGCCTAAAGAAATAAAAATTGCTGGGTAGCATACCTTAGCCCATTTAACTTTCTCTAATAAATCACCAAGATTTCTTCTAATCGGAACATAATGCTTCCAAGGCTCTAGTGCCATATAGAAATGTTCATAATATGGTGAGTCCTGCTTTAAAACCAGACTGTCACCCAGCATGAGATACGGGTATCTGTAAGCAGCCACGGTCCCATCCACGTTAACTTGATACTTGTACTGGAAGATGAAAAAGAAACAAAAATAAACAGACTTTCAGTGGCCATTTGCTTTACATCTTCTTATCAACACTGTAATACCAACTACAGAGGAATTATCTTCCATTTTCCAGCTTTTGTGTTTAAAAGTTTTATTGTATAACTTATATCTTCTCTTTGTTTAAAAGTCACAAGTAGCCTTTCTCAGATTACTTTTAAGAAATATATTGTTTAAATGTAAGATGCTAAATTTTAGGAAATAGGAGTGGAGACTTGTTTGAATCATGTCTCTGTAATATAGAATCCAGATTTCTGTAACCAGGTAGGAAAACTATTTTCTTTCTCTTTGTAAATTTTAATTTAAATGTTTTTCTTGTTTGAGACAGTGTCTTGCTCTGTCACCCAGGCTGGAGTATAGTGGTGTAATCTTGGCTCACTGCAACCTCCGCCTCCCAGGTTCAAATGATTCTGGTGCCTCAACCTCCTGAGTAGCTGGGATTACAGGCACCCGTCACTGCGGCCAGCAAATTTTTTCCTATTTTTAGTAGAGACAGGGTTTCCCCATGTTGGCCAGGCTGGTCTGAAACTCCCAGCCTCAGGTGATCTGCCTGGCTCAGCCTCCCAAAGTGCTGGGATCATAGGTGTGAGCCACCATGCCCAGCCAGGAAAACTATTTTCAAAAGTTCTTAAAGCTGAATACTGATAACAATGAACACTTTCATTTATTCGTTATTTCATTTGTTCCTTATATGCAATCTATGAAACAGGCAGGCATTGTCTCTGTTTTACAGTTTTAGAGCTAAGGAGACAGAAACCTGGAGACATTTAAGGATGGGCAATGCTGGCAACACAGTAGGTATGCTGTCTGCATATTTGCTGGATTTATACGCTTTATTTTCCATTTCAAATGCACTCTTCATAGGCATTAAACTTCCTTCAATTATAATAATCCAAAGCAGGTATTATTAACCCCTTCTTTTTGTTTTTATAAATGAAAAAACTAGTGTTCAGAGAAATGTATAAACCTCCATTCTCTGAGTCCCAAATCCCCTGTTTTACTCATTATATCACTCTGGAATGAGGAGGACACACTCCCAGATTTGGTAATTAATTTTTTGTTAAATAATTGGTACGAGGAGTTTTTGAGCCTATCAGCTTTTGTCACGTTGTTCACATCTCTCCTTTAGGCCTCGTGATAATGTTCTGAAGGAGTAGGCAGGCATCACATGGGTTTAAAGACCAAGGTGCCAAGAGAGGAAGATCCCTCTGGTGGCAGAGACAGGATTAGAAGCAGGCCTTGAACCCCAATCCCAACTCCCATTTTACATACATGGAATTTGTACTTTTTCTATTTACAAAAGACATTTGAGATCACTTTATGTAAAAGGTATTATATTCCCAGTTTATTAAAGCAAATAAAAGAAAAAAAATAACGACATCAAAATCCCAGGTTAATCCTTGTACTCTATTTTGAGAAGTAAGTACAGTTCTGAGCTATTTGGTAAAGTTAACAACGAAAGAAGGAAACCACAATGTGTTTGGTAATAAGAAAATGTAAACACGTATGTCAGTTCACAAGAAAGAAGAAATGTGCTGAAGCCCACCTATTTTGGTAGACTTTTAATGCAAGTTTATCACTTCATACCATAGAGGAAGACTCACGTGCGTACCTTAAAGAAATCAAAGAAACCCATCAACTTGGCTTTTCCGAGCTCCTTTTCTTTCTCTTGGAAAAAGAAATACCCTGTAATTCCTGCATCTAGTAGCTGAGGGTTTTTTTGGGACAGTTGTACCAGCTGGAGCCTCTCCTCTCGGCTGTCTCTACCTCTGAAGAAAGCTCTCTCTGTCTTATTGATCCAGGAAGGCCCTACAAGTTTGAATCCATAAAAAAAATTATGATTATGAATTTGATATTTTAATATGGTAAGCATAATCCTCTTTAGTCTACCATTGTTAAGATGTTAAAGCTCTTTTATCATCAACTCATCTTCTAAAGCAGATGCGATTTTAAAAAAATATATGGGATTGAATCTCAATTTGCTAGAAGTACTTTCTTTTTTTTCTTTTTTGAGATGGCGTCTCCCTCTGTCACCCAGGCTGGAGTGCAGTGGTGCGATCTCAGCTCACTGCAACCTCCACCTCCCGGGTTCAAGCGATTCTCCTGCCTCAGCCTCCCGAGTAGCTGGGACTACAGGCGTGCACCACCACACCCAGCTAATTTTTGTACTTTTAGTAGAGACAGGGTTTCACCATGTTGGCCAGGATGGTCTCAATCTCTTGACTTCATGATCCACCTACCTCAGCCTCCCAAAGTGCTGGGATTACAGGTGTGAGCCACCGCTCCTAGCCGCTGGAAGTACTTTCAAGTTTAGACTTTTAAAAAAGAAAAATAGTCCTTTTATTAGCTGTATTATATAAAAGAATGCTCTAATTTTCTCCATTTGTCTGCTAGTGAAAGCTCACGTGAGTATTGGTGTATTCTGTTGTATAATACTAGGAAATATCTGAAATAATGTCGGTCCATATTCGAAGCAAAAAGAGATTCAGTGACTTGGCCCACTCACCAAGGCGTTAGCTTCTTCCATCTTCTGTGTTTCACAATAAAACACGAGCTAGGCCTTTGTTCTTACATAGGGTGACCAGAAAAAAATGCTGCAACTGAGTAACATCCACAAATCTTTACTCAAGTTGGTCAGAATTTTGAATACAGGAAAGACTTTTTCTAATATGCTGTTGAATGCAAACATATATGTATAACCCACACTCTCTAAGCTTTCTCTTTGTTAATTAGCCATGCATTTTCCTGAATGCCTATATTTCTCTGAATTACCTGTATTTCCCTGAATAGAGAGGAGATCATTTGTAACACCCCTCATGGCTTCAAGCGTGGAGTGGGTGATGTCATATGTTGGAAGGACAATATCTCTTGAATCCAGAGAGCCACACCATGAAATGATAGGTATGGGGCTGGGGGTTCCATTGACTTTTCGATGCTCCAAAGGCCAATCTCCAAGATTAACATAAAATTCTAAATCTGGGAGGAGGACCTAAATAAACATATAAACAAACATCACTCCTGGGAAGACATGTCTTCCATATATGTAAGAAAACCAAAGACTAAATACGACAGTTCTTTGGTTTTCTTACATATTTCTGACAGAGTTGACCATTCAAAAACAGTAAGAGAGGAGAGAAGCATGCCTGTCATTGACAGGATGTGAATTTGTCACTGTGAGGATCCTACATGACAAATTCACTTAACCAGGAGTCAGCTACCTCTGTCCAGAGGTAGATTTAAAATTTGGTGTTTGAGACCAGGCATGGTGGCTCACACCTGTAATCCCATGGCTTTGGGAGTGGATCCGTTAAGGTCAGGAGTTCGAGACCAGTCTGGCCAACATGGTGAAACCCCATCACTACTAAAATTACAAAAATTAGCTGGGCTGGTGGCAGGCACCTGTAATCCCAGCTACTCAGGAGGGTGAGGCGGTAGAATCCCTTGAACCTGGGAGATGGAGGTTGCAGTGAGTTGAGATCGCGCCACTGTACTCCAGCCTGGGCAACAGAGTGAGACTCTGTTTTCAAATAATTAATTAATTAATTAATTAAAATTAGTGTTAGAGAAGTGGAAATTGTGTAGAGAGGTACAAATGAGCAGCTCTGAGAACTGCCTCTGCCAGCTGCCTAAGCAAGAGAACCTACAAAGTTAGAACCAAAGCCTTGTTTTCCTTCACTGTCCCCTTCTTTACCTTATCTGCCCTTGCCTCTGCAACCTGCCACTCTGCCCCTCCCCTTCCATCTCCACGGTCAGTCTCTCAGTTTAGGCCCTCATCATTTCTTGCCTAGATTGTTGTAATAGCTTCCTCACCAGGTGTTCTGATTCTGGGCTCTCCATACTGTAATCTGTTCTCCACAGGGCTGCTCAGATTTCCAAAACTAAAATTAATTCCAAAACTGAAGTTTCTAGAAGAACTTGGTTAATGTCACTAGCAAGCTTGACAGCACCTTAAGCCTATAGCACAAGATCTCAACTCTCTGGCTGGCAGTCAAGGCCTATCTGGTTCCACCTTGGCTATATGCCTCATCTTTTACCTGTCCACCTACCAGGAAACCTTAAGCTACTCTCTGAAAATGCTGTCCACTTAATATGCAATTCCCTTCACTTGGAATATTGTACTTATTTAACTGGGCAGTCTTGTTTCTCCTCTTTCAAACTCAGATCTAACAGCACTCCTCTGTGACTCACGCTCCTCAGGCACTTGAACCCTGGGTACTTATTTTCTTGAGGCCTATCATGTTGGGATATAAGTATTTGTACTCACAACCCGCTCCCACTCCCAAACAACAAAACCAAGTCCTACTATAGTGGGCTGCTCAAAGACTAGGACTGTGTCTCTTTCATCTTAGATTTCTTCCCCAGCTACTGAGCAAAGAACAAAAGGAAAGTGTGAGAGAGATGAATATTCACCCTCTTGCTTCCCTGTCATTATTATTAGTTATTATTATTTGAGACACAGTCTTGCTCTGCCGCCCAGGCTGGAGTGCAGTGGTGCGATCTCGGCTCACCACAACCTCTGCTTCTCAGGTTCAAGTGATTCTTGTGCCTCAGCCTCCCAAGTAGCTGGGACTATAGGTGACACCACACCTGGCTGATTTTTATATTTTTACTAGAGACAGGGTTGGCCATGTTGGTCTCAAACTCCTGACCTCAAATGATTCACCTGCCTCAGCCTCTGAGACTGCTGGGATTACAGGTGTGAGCCACCATGTCCAGCCTCCCTGCTGTTATTTATAAACTCATTAATAAACTCCACATCAGAAGTGCTCACTGTGGAGCAAGGTCTCTCAAGCTCACACTATTGACATTTGGGGCTGGATGATTCTTTGCTGTGAGGTCACTATCCTTTGCATTGTAGGATGCTTACCCACTAGATGCTAATAGCAATCCCTGAGTTGTGACAACCAAAAATGTCTCTAAACATTGGCAAATGTCTTCTGATGGGCAGAATCATCCCTGGTTGAAATCTACTGCGATGAAGCCAGCAACATGGGTTAAAGAGGCAAGAATACAGGGCATGATTGACCAGTTGTAGCCCAGGAAGAGAGCACTACCTTTAGGAGCAGGTGCCCGTAATTTGCTCGTACGCTCACGTTGTGGACTGGTGGAGGAGGGAGTGGGACTGCTATTTAAAGTAAGGTCTGACTACAGCCACATGGTCAGCACACTTGGGGAATTGTATAACATGTCAGGAAAACTGTGTTGTTTGGATGTAAAAAAACTCTCTTGTCTGGGCGCAGTGGCTCACGCCTGTAATCCCAGCACTTTGGGAGGCTGAGGTGGGTGGATCATGAGGTCAGGAGATGGAGACCATCCTGGCCAACATGGTGAAACCCCATCTCTACTAAAAATACAAAAATTAGCTGGGCATGGTGATGGGTGCTTGTAATCCCAGCTACTTGGGAGGCTGAGGCAGGAGAATCACTTGAACCAGGGAGTTGGAGGTTGCCATGAGCTGATATCGTGCCACTGCATTCCAGCCTGATGACACAGCAATACTCCCACTCAAAACAAACAAACAAAAACCTCCCTTCATGGTCTCTCTGGGTAAGAAAGATAAATACTGCCCACCTCCATCCTTCACCTGTATGATCAGAAATAAGAACAAAAGGTGGTTTAAGTTGCTCTGTTTAAGAGGAATTCAGAGTACTGCAAATGTGGAAAGAGAAGCTGAACAGTGGGATAAGGGGGCGCTACTGGGGGATGTGGAGAGCCTGAAAGACACTGGGCCTAACGACATTAGTAAGAGGCTAAGGCCTTAAGATCAAGGACAGCCCTGAGAAATTCCCAGAGGCAAGCATGACTGAGAGTCTGATTAGTACAGAGATGTCTATTTTTAAATATCAGGGGTTGTGTTTGTTTTTTAGTACGCACTGGTGAAAAAAAACAACCTGTTTCTGGTACCCCAGGCTTTGACAAAATGTGCCATGCATGCTAACTTCTAGGTCTGCTTAGGGAAAAACAAGGAAAATGTGTTCCAAGTTCAGGTCATTTTGAGGTGAAGAGAAGTAAACAGCTGCAGAAGGTGAAATCTAAACAGGAGGAATATTCAGCAGGAACAGGGAATTTAGAGTGACCTCTTGCAACAGTCATCGTGCCTAGAGTACCAGCTAGGACTGAGCTGAGGTGGGAGGATGGCTTGAGCCCAAGAGTTTGAGGCCAGCCTGCACAAGACCTCACCTCAATTAAAAAATTAATTAATTAATTAATTAATAAGACAGTGCTGTTTGGATACTGTAAATATAGACAGTTTTGAGAATAAGAAGAAGAAGAGGAGGAGGAGGAAGGAGAAGAAGAAGAAGTAACCTTGTTATAAATGTCTGGAAGTTCAAATAAACCTTGGGAGTGTCCTGCATGGCACACCTACCTGGGATGGGGGCTCGAGCCACTTAATTTTCTTTTCTTTTATGTATGTATGTATGTATATATTTGAAATGGCATCTCATTCTGTCACCCAAGTTGGACTGCAGTGGTGCAATCTTGGGTCACTGCAACCTCCACCTCCTGGGTTCAAGCCATTCTCCTGCCTCAGCCTCCCCAGTAGCTGGAATTACAGGTGCCTGCCACCATACCCAGCTAATTTTTGTATTTTCAGTAGAGATGGGGTTTTGCCATGTTGGCCAGGCTGGTCTCGAACTCCTAAACTCAGGTGATCCACCCGTCTTGGCCTCCCAAAGTGCTGCGACTGCAGGCATGAGCCACCATGCCTGGCCTCAGGCCACTTAATTTTAAATCTTACAGGAAAATGAGATCCACAAAGGTGGAAAACATATGAACACTCAGATTGCAAGTATCTTAGATGCCAATTTCTCAGCCTGAAATCTGTTTCATCCTTTGTCATATCATTCTAAACATTTAAATGTTATACCTAAATAATTAAACTGTATTGTCAATTCATTCATTCGCCTACCTTTCTTGTCAGTGATAACAAAATCTCATCAGAGAACATTTTGAAGTCCGTGTATTTCCCTAAAGATCTCCGGTAAATGCGGTTATTGAGAATTGTGTAATGAACGACGGCACCTCTCTCGTCCCCAAACCTTTTGGGGACTTCGTTTAGCATCTGCTGGAGATTGATGCTGGGAAAGGAAGCAAAATCTTTTGCAATCTGCAGTTCTTTGGTTGGACAAGACAGAGTTTTCTGCCAGGCCTGAGGATTTTCGGGACACTCACAGTACTCGTGGTATACCGGTCCTAGGAAGGGAAAACAGGAAGAAGGCTGCACTCCATCAACAAGCACCACAACACAGGGAGTCACTTCTGTCTCTGCTTCTTGGTGAATTCTAAGATCATCCAGAGATAATCTGCCCTAGTCAAATCAGTGATTTTCTTAGAGTACTACACTTTTACCTTCCTTTTCACACCACCTGGATAACACAGTGAGTATATGCTCTCTCCCAATCTAACCTACTCTCAGTCACTTAGCTGATAAATTCATTTCTAGTGAGGTATCAATGGCAGCAAACATAAAACAACTTACCTTTCGGCAAGAAGAAAAAGATTGTATCAATTTTTAGACATTATGCAAACCAAAAATAAAATTCCTAAGCCTCCCCAAGCCTCCAAACGGATCCCAACGTAAACCTGAAAAGCCAGTTTGGCCATGAAGGGAAGGGGAAGCCACACATGCCTCATTGTGCCCTCCTCCCTTGTGGCATTCGGGCCCAGCTGAATAGCATTAACATCAACACAGACCTTAAGACTGACAGAATGACTCTTTAAGCCTGATAAGAAACATTTGCAATCTCTTCTCTGTAGCTTGCTACCTGGAGGCCTCATCTGTGAGATAAAACCTTGGTTTCCACAAACCCTTAACATAACCCCAGACATTCCTTTCTATTGATTCTAGGTCTTTAGACAATAACTTAATTCTTTCAACTAACTGCCAATCAGAAAGTCTTTGAATCTACCTATGACCTGAAGCCCCACCCCCTGCCAAACCCCTCCCACCCACCCGCACTTCCAATTGTCCTTCCTTTCCAGAACAAACCAATGTACATCTTACATGTATTGATCAATGTCTTACCTCTCCCTACAATGTATAAAACTGTAGCCTGACCACCTTGAGCACATGTTCTCAGGATCTCCTGAGGGTTGTGTCATGGGTCATTTGTCACTCATATTTGGCTCAGAATACACCTCTTCAAATATTTTAGAATTGGACTCTTTTCTTTCTTTTTTTTGAGGGGGGGTGGGGTGGGGGGATAGAGTATCACTCTGTTGCCCAGGCTGCAGTGCAGTGGCGTGATCTCGGCTCACTGCAACCTCCACCTCCTGGGTTCAAGTGATTCTCCCCCCTCAACCTCCTGAGTAGCTGGGATTACAGGCATGAGTCATCACATTTGGCTAATTTTTGTATTTTTTGTAGAGATGGGGTTTCACCAGGTTGGCCACGCTGGTCTTGAACTTCTGCCCTCAGGTGATCCACCTGCCTCAGCCTCCCAAAGTGCTGGGATTATAGGCGTGAGTCACAGTGCCTGGCCATAAGTTTGACTCTTTTCATTGACAACAAGCAACAGGACTGATGTACCCTCCCACCTAAAATGACCAGAAAACACCCTGCAAAATATATGAAACAACAGTTTTCTGTTGTTTTTGTTGTTGTTCTTTTGAGACCGAGTCTCACTGTGTCACCTAGACTGGAGTACAGTGGTGTGATCTCGGCTCACCTTTAATCTCTTCTTCCTGGGTTCAAGTGATCTTCCTGCTTCAGCCTCCTGAATCGCTGGGATTACAGGTGCTCACCACCATGCCCAGCTAATTTTTTGTATTTTTAGTACAGAAGGGTTTTACGTATTGGCCAGGTTGGTCTCCAACTCCTGACATCAAGTGATCTGCCTGCCTCAGCCTCCCAAAGTGCTGGGATTACAGGCATGAGTCACTGCACCTGGCCTTAAACAATAGTTTTTAAAGCATTAGGTATCAGGCAACGAAGGACAGTGAGTCTAAGAGATGGGGGACAAATAACGTAAGCCCTACAATTCCTACAGCCTGCTGTTTAAAGGAGCTTCGAGCTTGTCGTGCAGGGAGGGGGAGTGTAGGCAAAGCCAGGCAGCCAACTTCACTGAGCTGAGGAAGCAGAGCCGACAGTCTGGGGAGACCGAGGCAGCTCTAGACTTTGTAGGACAGAGTATCTGAGAAGGAAGTACTGCAGGTCCTAAAGAACGTTAGAGATCTGTAGAAGGTCCTCTTCACATATTATTATGATCAGGGCATTTGATCAGTGCATTTTGGATGGGCTCATCCCCTTTACTGATTCCAAAAATAATACAGTTTAATTATTTAGGTGTAACATTTAAATGTTTAGAATGATAATGACAAAGGATGAAAACAGATTTCAGGCCGAGACATGGTTATTGAAGATATTTGCCACCTGAGTGTTCTTAGGTTCTTGGGGAAAACAGGGGAAGAACCCATCCAAAATGATCAGAGGGAGCATTACTTAGCAGTGGGTACCAGTCAGATTGAAAAGCCTCCTAATTCATAGTGCTTGGGTAAAGTATACAGAAGGCTATTGCCTTAGTAGTGGGGAATAATTAGCCCTAGACCAAACATGGCTCTAGTCCCACCTAACAAACTGTAAAAGCAAAACTTGGAAGGATTAAACTATATCCCAGTAATTTAACTGCACCCCAGAAAAGAGCTCAAGCAGATGAAAAAGCGTGGAGAGGTGACAACTACAGTGTACAGGACTGATGACAGACTGCACATGGCAGAAGAAAAGAGAATTTAGAGACAGTAATAGAAACTATACAGAATGAAACAAAGAGAAAAAATAATTTTAAAAATGAAAGGAGTATCAATGAACCATACGATAATTTCAAGCCCAATCTATGGGCAATCGGTATCCTTGAAGGTAAGGTAGAATGGAACAGAAAACATGTTTGAAGCAATAATGACCAAAATTTTTCTAAATTCGATGAAAACTACAAACCCCCTATTCCAAGAAGTTCCACGAATCCAAAACACAGGAAATATGAAGAAAACTGCACCAAGGCATATAATAATTAAATTTCTCAAAACAACTGATAAAGAGAAAACCTTAAAAGCAGCACAGATGAACAATGCTAGATTTGTTAGAAGCAATGCAAGTGAGAAGACAGTGGAGTTGCATCTTTAAAGTATGGAAAAAAACCCCATCAACCTATAACTATAACTAGAGACAACATCTTTTAAAAACAAAGGCTAAATAGGCAGGGCATGGTAGCTCATGCCTTAATCCCAGCACTTTGGGGAGCCAAGGCTGGAGGATCACTTGAGCCTAGGAGTTTGAGACCAGCTTAGGTAACAATAACAAACAGGACTTTGTTTCTACAAAAAAAATATATTTTTAATTTGTGGGGTGTGGTGGTGTGTGCCTGCAATCCTAGCAACTTAGGAGGCTGAGGCTGGAGGTTTGCTTTAACCCAGCAGTTTTGTTTGTTTGTGTATTCGTTTTTTTGAGAAAGGGGGCTCACTCTGTCCTCCAGGCTGGAGCACAGTGGCATGATCACAGCTTACCGCAGCCTCAACCTCCTGGGCTCAGGTGATCCTCTTAGCTCAGCCTCTTGAGAAGCTGGGACTACGTGTATGCACCAACACATCCAGCTAATTTGTTGTATAGACGGGTTTTTGCCATGTTGCCCAAGCTGGTCTTGAATTCCTGGGCTCAAGTAATCCTCTGGCCTCAGCCTCCCAAAGTGCTAGAATTATATGTGTGAGCCACTGCATGCGACCTAGCCCAGCAGTTTGAGGTTGCAGTGAGCTTTTTTTTGAGATGGGGTCTCGCTCTGTCACCCAGGCTGGAGTGCAGTGACACGATCTTGGGTCACTGCAACCTCCACCTCCGCGGTTAAGCGATTCTCCAGCCTCAGCTTCCTGAGTAGCTGGGACTTCAGTCATGCACCACCACCATGCCCAGCTAATTTTTGTATTTTTAGTAGAGATGGGGTTTCACCATGTTGCCCAGGCTGGTCTTGAACTCCTAAGCTCAAGCCATCTGCCTGCCTTGTCCTCCCAAAGTGTTGGGATTACAGGCATGAGCCACTGTGCCCAGCCTGCAGTGAGCTTTGACTGTGCCACTGTACTCCAGCCTAGGCCACAGAGCAAGACCCTGTCTCAAAATAAACAAAAAACAACTCAAACAAACAAACAAAAGGCAAAATAAAGATTGTTTTAGACGTTCAAAAGCTGGAAGAATTCATCACCAGCATTTTCACAGTAAAAGAAATATTAATAGAAATCCTTTAGGCAGAAGGCAAATGTTACTAGATGGAAATATGGATCTACACAAAGGAATGAAGAGTTTCACAACTAGTAACGACACAAGACTTTTCTTTCTTATCATTTAAATCTCTTTAAATTACTTAATTTTCTTTCCCTTAAAATTTAAACTGTGCTCCAGGAGGTATGTATCCAATGTTTACTCTATTGCACATGACTCTGAGGTCATCGGGTTTAGCCCATTCTGAAAGGTATGGGACCTACATGCCAGGCTGACTCTGGAGTATATAATAATCACTTACCTTTCAAAATATAGGGAGACTGAGCCACATGTTCATCACCATAAAGGACCTCTATCTTCAGCCCTGCATTGACAGTTTCATACATCCTGTATCTCATCACAAACGTTCCATCATTCCTGTCCAAAGGTTTAGGGACATGAATCCGGACCAACTCTTTAGGTGAAAGAGATTTGACGACTACTTTGAATGGTGTTTGACCTAAAAGAAAAAGAAATATAAATAACTCTACCATGTCATGATTATTATACCTTTACAATTATGGGATAGTTGTTATTGAATAACTTAAATATGCTGCTTATTCTTGCAGCAGTGTTGATTTTTAAAAAATCACTTCCTTTGAAAGATCTTTGAGGCCAAGAACTATGAGTGGTTCACGCATTTTTTTTTTTTTTGATACAGAGTCTCGCTCTGTCATCCAGGCTGGAGTGGAGAGGTACCATCCTCCTAGCTCATTATAGCTCCAACCTCCTGGGCTCATGAACCTCCTGCCTCAACCTGCATCAGCCCCATGAGTAGCTGGGATTATAGGAGTGTGCCACCATGCCCAGCTAATATGTTAAATTTTTTGTAAAGATGGTGGGGGGGGATGGGGTGGGGGATGGGTTGAAGGGCGTCTTGCTATATTGCCCAGGCTGATCTGAAACTCCTGACCTCAAGCATCCCCACTGCCTCAGCCTCCCGAAGTGTTGGGATTACAGGCTGAAGCCACAGTGCTTGGTCTGGTTTATGTATTCAAACCATGGACAGACTCAACATTTGAATCATTAATCATTCAATCAAGACTTATTGCATAAACAAAAGGAATTTATTTTTTAAAAGCAAATAAAAAATAAACTTTTTGTTTATTTGGTCTTTCCTCCTTTGTGTAGGATTAAAGCCCAGATAGTTAAAAATCCATGGATCTAAGCATGACGGGTCTCTATAGCAGTCTAACTTTCTCCTTGTAAAATGCACACGATCTTTCTCTGTATACCATTTCAGTATCTAATAACCATCATTTCTGTGAAAATTTCCCCATTTACTAAGCTCAAATTTCAAGTGGTACTTCTAAGCCCATTTCCTTAGGTAGAGAGAGATTATAGCTAGCAAGCAGACTCTTGTACAAGTTCACACACACACCCACACACATACACACACACGTATCTTTGTAAATACTAGAGATTACTTCTGAATCTATTTGCTCAGCTTGAAAAGAAACAGTTATACTATAATAATCCATTCCGCCTTCACAGTTTTGTGGGTTTTCTATTAAATATTTAATAATAATATATTTCCCTTTCCTATAGCTGACACTTGGGCTTTGAAATGACACTGTTGTGGTTGAAGTTACTGTGGCCCAGGAATAAACTTTGAAACCTCTTTCTTCACAAAGTGCAGTCGATATATCATTTAGATCACCACCTCAAAGAGGAATGCTAACACGGTAGTGAATCCCCTGAAATTCACAGTCCTAGCAAACAACATTGTGACCAAAGTTGTCTTTTACTTCATGTCTATCATACTACAAAATTTAGAATATTTAAAATATATCTTTTGAAATTACTAAACAAGTTTGTGAAATTCTGAGTTTCTAAATGTTACAGTTTCTAAATGTAGGCAGTATCAAAATATTACATCATTAGAATCAGAAATCTTGAACATGTTTGATTTGGTAAGAAATCAAAAGCATATTTAGAAATTCACTTAGCACTTTTTATGGGCTTGACACTTTCATATGTATTTTCTGTGTCATTTATTTCCTACAAGAACTTTGAGGTAAGTATCTGTTACCCCCATTTTATAGACCAAGAAACCAAGGCTCCAAGAAGTAAGGTAACTTGCCCAAGGTCACACATAATGTGTTGCAGAGCCAATATCTGAATGCCACTCTGCAGCGGTCGCAGTGGGAGGAATACTTCTGGCACTTTGGATACAATGGAGTCATCCCCTCCTCTGTTGTTGAGGAAGTTCATTAAGGCTCTCTACAGCTGCAACAAAAGTGTTGACCTCACATGGTCAAGGGAAACAGAATCCCAGAAGGCCAAGGTATTATACCATGAGGCTAAGTGGAAATCCTCCAAAAATATCTGGCCACCTGTCAACCATGAACACTGTCCAAGGTCTTATTGTAAAGTGACGCATGACAGTCCTATGAAGGATGATTTGATAAAGCCGAAGGAGCAGTGAAGTAGAAGTTGAAAGGGCTGTTCCTGCCTTGGCTCTGACAGTCGCTGTGGAGCCCGCCAGGCAACGCATTTTAGCTTCACTGAGTCCAGCTTCTCATGTGTGAAGAAAGACAGTAATATCTGTCCTTCCTCCCTTATAAGACTATTTTGGAGGACAAATTAAGCAAGGCATACTATAAAACACCAAAGTACACAACCAGGAGGTAAGATTATTTTATGAAGACATTATTACTGATGAAGATAGAAGACTGAGTAGAAAAAAAGTATATCCTTCCAACTTGACATATTTCAATCATCCCTCCCTCTACCCCTTCTTTTCATCTCCAATAGTTATCGGTACCTCTACTGAGCGTAGTGCTACAAGCTGGGAATATAACAGTATCAACAGGCGCTGCCTACTTCATAACTGGAGGAAACGCTCAATTTAAGCAAGAGTACTGAAAAGATAGTTTTTTCCCCCATCCAAGGTCAAAGACCCTACAATTTCTGTCTGTGAACCCCAGTTTCAGATATCCTGCTTCAGATCACTGAGGTTCCAATACATTTGTTATCTGGGTACTTGGATATATGCAGTGTAATAGCGGCATTCAGATAAATTCTACACTGTTGAATGGGAGTGAAAATAAGGCAACCTTTCTAAGTTGTGTACAATAGACTACAGCTTGAGAAAATAAGATTTTTCCTCTTTTCCAATTAGTTTTTTTTTTTTTTTTAAGACTGGGTCCCATTCTGTCATGCAGAGGCACAATCTCAACTCAATGCAACCTCAGCTTCCCAGGCTCAAGAGATCCTTTCACCTCAGCCTCCCCAGTAACTGGGGAGCACAGGCACACATCGCCACACCCGGCTGATATTTTGGATTTTTTGGTAGATGGATTTTGCCATGTTGCCCAGGCTGGTCTCAAACTTCTGAGTTCACGCGATCTACCAGCCTTGGCCTCCCAATGTGCTGAGGTTACAAGGCATGAGCCACTGTACCTGGCCATTCAATTAGTTCTTGAAGAGGGAAAGACTTCAGGACTTGCAAGTTAATGCTGGTGGCAGAAATGTAAGAAACCAGCTGGGTGAGTTTTCAGAACTATAGGGCACCTTTTTAACTGGAAGCCAGAAATCAAGGGGCCTGAAAGGAAACAAAGGGAATCCAGGGGAATAAAAGTAAGGTTGTCCAAAAAGTCTTTATTTTATGCATTTATTTAGAGAAAGAGTCTTGTTTGTCGCCCAGGCTGGAGTGCAGTGGCACAATCATAATGCACTGCAACCTTGAGCTCCTGGCTCTACTGAGCCTCCTCCCTCAGCTTCCTGAGTAGTAATGTTTTATTAAGTAGAGATGGAATCTCTATGCTATGCTCCCCAGGCTAGGAAGTCTTTCTAAGACTAAAAAACGTTAAAAAAGGAAAGTCATAGACTGCAGGGGTAAACCGTGCAGAAAAATAAATGTAACTTTCCTTCTGTCAAGATGTCTAATAGAAACTGTTGGTAAACTGGTTTTTATTTGTTTAAAGAATATACTTATGTGTATATATATGTGCATATCTAAATGTACACACAACTTTAAGTCATGTACCATTTGGATTTTAATTGAAGGTCTTTAATATACATAAGAGGTTGCAAACTATAGCTAATCCAGCTCACTGCCTGTTTTTGTAAATCCTGTAAGCTAACAATGATTCTTACATTTTTAAAATGGGGATGGGCATGATGAATAATGCCTGTAATCCCAGCATGTTGGGAGACTGAGGCAGGAGGATCCCTTGAGTCCAGGAATTTGAGGCTGCAGTAGCTATGCACTCCACCCTGGGTAACAGAGAGAGACCCTGTCTATTAAAATACAAGGGGAGAAAAATCAAAGGAAGAATAATATTGTAACTTATGAAAAATTATATGAAATTGAAATTTCAGTGGCCGTAAAGTTTTATTGTAACATAGACAGGTTTGTTTGTTACATGTCCATGGCTACAAAGCATAGCTGAATAAATGTGACAGACTATATGACCTACAAAGCCTAAATTATTTACTATCTGGCCCTTTAAACAAAAAGTTTTGAAGCCCTGATATACACACATGCGTTTCTGTCAATAGAGTTGGAATTATTCTACCCAAAGGCATATAATTCATATGAAACCAGTTGTCTGAGTATTTAGAGTCTAATTGGTAGACATGTTATCAAAGCAATGCTTGAAGACAACTTCAGGAGTGGTGTTCTGAATCAAACCTAGAGCATAAGCCACTAAGCCACTGAGGTGGTTAAGTTAGAGGCAGATTCTTGCCTCAGCTCAAATTTCTCCAGGTGCTCTCTTTTATCTAGTTATAAAGTCATTTGCTTGGCATTCAAGGCCCTTGAAGACCAGCGGCCACAATCAACGAGCCTCTTCTGCTCAGTGTCATTACATTACAGTCCTTATTTTGCCGAACCCCACGCTTTCTTATGCCTCTGTGCTTTTGCACATGCCGGAGCGTCCACCTGCATGCCTGCCCAGCAAACCTCATCCTTCAAGTCTCTGCTTCTGAAATCTTCCTGAACTTCTCCAGTTTCTGGCAGTACTGCAATGCTGCCACTGCACTCTGTACATCACCTTCCATTATCCTGTACAGTGATCAGTCATCGGCACGTCTTTTACCAACAGACTGTAAGTTCCTTGATGGACACACATTGACTTTTCATCCTTAGATCCCCAGCAGAATTACCAAACACAGAAGCAGACATCAAATTAGTATTTCTTGCATGAATGAAATTTTAAAAATCATTACATCTAAAAGTGAATTATGTTTGGCTCCTAAATTCTCTGCTTTGCCCACCTGTCACGACCCCCTTTTCCCCTTCCCAAGCTGGAACACACTTATGGCAGCTGTGTTCCCAGCTGGCCTAGCAGGGGCAGAGGCACTGGGTCATTCTAATTGTCTCTTCGCTAATAAAACAAGGTGCTAATTGGCCAGAGCCCTGACTTAGACATTAATTAGGAAATCCTGACTGGTAACAGCCTGAAACCAGCAGGACAAGTTTTAAGAAGTTGCAAAGGTAAGACACGAAGGACAACGAGGGACGAGGACCAGGCAGAAAGGGAATCAGGATGAGATCCAGCCCACCGTCAGTAGAGGGAAAACCGAATGATTTCTCCTGAATTTCCCTAGCTCCTGTAATCTACTTTCAAGAACTCAGAACTAAAAAGGAAACAAAACACTAACACGTAAACCCCTCCCCTTCCTACTGCTCTGACGTTTCCTCGGCGCGGGAGTTCGTTGGTCCAAACTCATCAGGCCCAAGCCCTGTAACCCGACGCCATCCGTGGGCTTGATGACTCACCGCTGGAAAGCGCTCCCTGCAATCCCTCACAGTTCAGACAACTAAGTCACCGATGGGGCAACGTGTGACTCACGGCCCCATCCCTGTAACGCCCGGGAGCCGTCAGTTCGCAACATCAGTCCCCGCACTTTAACTGCGGAAGCGCCCTTGGAGCTCATTCATTCATTCCACAAACTTTTCTTAGGATTTCTGCCCGCGTTTTGTCCGGGCGGGAGGAGCTGACCAGACCCAGAAAAGGGGCGACACACGCAGGGGAGGGACGCCACGCAGGCCGCGGGCGGATTCCCGGGAGGCGGGGATGCGCGGGGACCTGGCCGCGGGGCGAGGGAGGGCGGCCGGGTGGACGCTACCTGGGGGCGCGCGAGTGAAGTTCTGGCCGTCCGAGGTGACCGCCTGCAGGAAGAAATAGCGGACAGGCAGGGCGACCGCCGCCTGCAGCCCGGGCCCCCACACCAGGCTCCGCGGCGCGCTGACCGGCGCCTCCGGGGCGCCCGCGGCCACCAGCAGGGCGAGCCGCAGCAGCAGCAGGGCCCGCGGGAGGCGGCGCATGGTCGGCGGGGCAGCTGCGGTCCAGCTCCGCGGCGGCGAGGAGGAGCCGGTAGCGCCGCGGGCCGGGCGGGGACTGGGGCCCACCGCGGGGCGGGTCTTTCGGGCGGGAAAGATTGCGGCGCTGGCTCCCTTTTCCGCCCGCTGTCCCTCCCCGGCTCCTTTGGGCGGGAGCGCGAGCCAGCGCCGCTGTCACCCACCGCGCGCCCGGCAGGTGTCGGCGATGGACCCGCGGGTTCCTCCCCGCAGCCCCACAGGCCCCATGGAGGAGAGGGGTGGAGAGGCCCGCACGGAGACCGAGGCTGAGACTGTGCGCCGTTGACTGCCAAGGCCTCGGGCACGCCAGGCCTCCACCTCCAGTGGTCTTTCTTTTCTTCCTTGTTGTCCTTCCTTCTTTCTCTGTTTTTATACAGATAAGGGGACTGGCTCTGTCGCCTAGGCTGGAATGCAGTGGCGTGATCACAGCTCACTGCTGGAACTCCTCTGCTCAAGAAATCCTCCCGCCCCGGCCTCCCGAGTAGCTGAAACTATAGGCAGACAACACCACACTGGCTAATTTGATTTATTGCTGTTTTTGTAGAGACGGGGGTCTTCCCCATGTTGCCCAGGGTGGTCTTGAACTCCTGATTTCAAGCAATCGCCCCCCCAACCTTGGCCTCCCCAAGTGCCGAGATTACAGGAGTCTTCCCCATGTTGCCCAGGGTGGTCTTGAACTCCTGATTTCAAGCAATCGCCCCCCCCACCTTGGCCTCCCCAAGTGCCGAGATTACAGGAGTCTTCCCCATGTTGCCCAGGGTGGTCTTGAACTCCTGATTTCAAGCAATCGCCCCCCCCCCCACCCCTTGGCCTCCCCAAGTGCCGAGATTACAGGAGTGAGCCACCGGGTCCGCCACTCTGGTGCTTTTAAAAAACGTAGACCCAGTAGTGATTACTGTGGGACGACAGAAAGGGTCCCACCCCAAGATCGATGTACTTTAGGGGAAAGGCTTTTCCCAAAGAATGTCGCCGAGTTAACAAGATGAGAGCCGAGGCCTCGCCCCCTCGCTCCCTCACAGCCCTCTCCGCACAGCAGCGCGGTTCTCCCGTGGCCTGCTCTGTTGCTTTTCTGCTCAGCAGCCTCCTTCACAGAACTGGGATTTCCCCGACTCCTCCCTTTCCCCCCTTCCTCCCGCCCTCCCCTTCTTCCAGCAGGTGTTTATAGAACATCTAGGGAGTCTGGGCTAAGCCCAGAGTGAGGAGCTGGGCACTGGGGTGGCAGAAGACCAGGCATTGCCTTGAGCCTGTGTATGAACTTTATCTCAAAGCCAGGAATCTCCTGTTCCTCTGTAATCGATGTGGTGGTGCATGGTTGGTCTCAGCCACCTCCACCACTCCTCAGAAGAGGAACGCTGGATCCAGGAAGAGATTGTCAAGGCCAATGTCTGCCTCTCTTAATGATTTTTCCTCTTTTTTGATCTGCTTATGGTCTGAATCTGTTTAAAGGCAATAAAGATGTTCCTCTGGCTAAATGAGCCAGAGGGAACTCACACCCCAGAATGGACACAGGGTTTCTGCACCCGCTTGGCAGACCTCAATCCCCACAACCTCAGAGCCAGGCACTGGGCAGGCCTTTGCCCACCACGGCTTTAATTGTGCCACTCAGCATTCTTGCTATGACCGAGTTTTACCAGGGCAAAATCTTTCCCGCATTTTCACAGTTCTCTTGACCTGTTTTAGGAAAGCTAAGCAGTGGTTGTGGATGCTATTCTTTGTACTTTGCAGAGATTTTTCAGGAACTGGTAGTCGCTGATCATTTTTAGGGCTAAAGTACAACATTACTTGGTATTACTTTCATTGATAAATTTTATTTGTGGGCGTGTCTGCTTGCTTTAAATGGAAAAGTGCTCTGTTCCAAACAGCACTTAAAAACATTGTATGGAGGCTGGGAGTGGTGGCTCACGACTATAATTCCAGCACTCTTGGAGGCTGAGGCGGGTACAAGGTCAGGAGCTTGAGGCCAGCCTGGCTGACATGGTGAAACCCCGTCTCTACTAAAAATACAAAAATTAGTTGGGTATGGTGTCGTGCGTCTGTAATCCTGGCTACTCAGGAGGCTGAGGCAGAATTGCTTGAACCTGGGAGGCAGAGATTGCAGTGAGCTGAGGTCGCAGTGAGCTGAGATCACTCCACTGCACTCCAGCTTGGGCGCCAGAGCGAGACTCTGTGTCAAAAAAAAAAAAAAAAAAGTATGGAACACATTTTGCTCACGCTCTTTCAAAATCTGACTTAAAACGATTTCCAGAGAAATAATCTGAGGTTTAGCTGGTACTGGATGATGGTAAAATGTGGCCTAATAAATTACATAACATTTGGGTTCACACCCAGTATTTTATTTTTTTGGGAACATGTCAGAGAAGCCATGTAATTGTACCTAAACACACTCATGTTTGGTAATACTAAGCCTGTACCAACCTGTTTTCCTTCTCATCTTAGTCTGTCTCCAAAGAGCATATCTCTTCGGATCAGCAAGTGCCTTGACCAGACTCTTTATCATTAATCAAATTTCATTCATTCAACACATATTTATTAAATGCCTACTTATTTTGGATATTGTATTTTGACTTCCAAATGCCTGTTTAGTGGAGAAGAAAGAGAGGCCATGTAAATAGTGCATAGGTGTTAAAACATGGGTGCCAAGAGCTGGCGTGGTCTAGGATTTTATCCCACTTACAAACTAACAAGTTGGCCTGTTACTGTTTCATGGATGCTGTCAAAAGACACAACACTCCTGTATCAAAGAACTTAATTATTCACTGCAAAAGTAGTGGCCAGAGCTTTATGTTGGTTTGTGTTTTGTTCCTAAGCCTCCCAAGTCCTGTGGAGACAATGCAAACAGACTATGATGGATGCCTGAAATGGATTCCATTACAGGAGAGGAGCACTAAGCTAAAGGAATTTGCCTCTTCTAGGCTTCACAGAATTAAGCCTGCTCTTTGTGGGTGGGGAGATGTTATCTCATCCCTCAAGGTTGCTTGCTACAAACCCTACCCAGAGAAATGGCTGGATAAAAAGCTGGGCACGGGAGTGGCAGACCAGCAAGAATGATCAGAGAAGTTCAAGGTCCATGGCAGAGAGCCTGGAATACCAAGCAAGAATGATCAAAGAAGTTCAAGGGCCATAGCAGAGAGCCTCTTCCAACATAGTACAGTGTACAATACCCTACATATGAAGACCAGCTAATCTAGTCTTGGGAGAACCGAGAGGCTTCTGAAAGTGCCGAACCTCGAAGGTCAAACAGGAATCAGCCACACGAACCGGAGGAGGAAAGCATTCTGGATAGAAGGAACATCATTTATAAAACTGAAGTAAATGATACACTCCAAGAAGTTTTTCATTCCCTGTCACATTCATCTCCATATTGAGCTCCAATTTCAAACACATAGAATTAAAGTCAGTGTGTGACTCTGGAAAGTCTAAATTCAATATACTTTTGTGAACTGCACTGACCCCTGGAATCTTTACATTAATGTCACATAAAATTCACAGCTAATTATTGTCTACTCAGTTTATAACATTTCCACCTTTTCTGGTAACTCCTCTTTTTTTACTCCACAGTCCACCTAGTTAACCATGAGGCTCTGTAAAAGCATAACTTTAACTATGGCTACAGTTCATTGGCTCCTAGTTTGGAAACTGACTCATGCTGAACTAATCATCTTTCCCTGGGAGTTTAAAATCAAGGTTAGGAGATTTTTAACGTACTGCCTGCTTTCCAACAGAAGCTTTATAACCTTTGTTATTTTTTACCTTGTATTCCGAAAACAGAAGAGAAATATAGAAAACTCTCTGAGTTATGTAGAGTACAGCAGAGATTGGTACAGTTTATGAGCAGCATCTCCACCTCTGGTTTCTGAGGCATCCTTGAATCCTTATAATAAATTCCTCTTTAACTTTAGAAATTGTGTGATTTTCTTTTTTAATTTTTATTTATTCATTTATGTTATTTTGAGACAGACTCTCGCTCTGTCATTTGGCTGGAGTGCAATGGTGTGATCTCAGCTCATTGCAACCTCCATCTCCCAGGTTCAAGCAATTCTCCTGCCTCAGCCTCCTGAGTAGCTGGGCCTACAGGTGCATGCCACCACACCTGGCTAATTTTTGTAGAAATTGTCAAATTTTCAATGCCACTAGTGAATTAAAAAACTTACATAGGGTTAGACAAGATTAGATCCCACGAAATGCACAAAACTTTATTTTAATTATTTCAATAATATTTGTTCAATATCCACTTTATATCACGACTTTATGTCATGCGTTCTGCAAGGTGCTAGGGACATAAACTTAGTCCTGGCCCTTGCATGTATTACTGTTTATATGGTACATTTTAGATTGTGAGACAATCGGTTTAAATATTAACTTGCGTCCAGAACCAATTTCCTCCAAAACATTCCACCTTGAAACAATCAATGTGCCAAGATTCTTAAGGTTGTATGAGTTGAACCTTCCACAGTCAACATATGGCCTGAGGGGAGGAGATGTCAGTTTCTGGCCCAAAGAAAAAGGGGCTACTGGGCAATCATATCAGTACATGCTACATTCTTCAAAACATTTCTAGAATGGAATTGTAATTTCCAGTCTGGAAAGATGACATAATCTAGAAAGGATGATTGGGGAAGAAAACCTGGGCCTAGAGGAAAACTTAGTGCTAGCATTTATATTATTAAAACACAAAGTTTCGTAGAATCAAGTATGATGATAATTCTTTTTTTCCGAGACAGAGTTTCACTCTGTCGCCCAGGCTGGAGTGCAGCGGCATGATCTCAGCTCACAACAACCTCTGCCTCCTAGGTTCAAGTGATTCTCCTGCCTCAGCCTCCTGAGTACCTGGGACTATAGGCGTGCGCCATCATGCCAACTAATTTTTGTATTTTTAGTAGAGATGAGGTTCCACCATGTTGGCTGGGTTGGTCTTGAACTCCTGACCTCAAGTGATCCACCTGCCTCAGCCTTCCAAAGTACTGGGATTACAGGCATGAGCCACCATGCCCAGCCAATGATCAATTTTTTACGAAAGAAAAGTAATTTATTAAATATTCTCCTGGACAGAAGTCCTTTAAAAACTTATATTTACTTTTTAATCTATATACCACCAATAAATAATTGCACTTAAGTACTTGAATAACTATAACTTCTCACTTATTATCTTTCTATATATATCTAGATGTGTGCATGTTTACAGTTTTTTCTTTGGAGGAAAGAAACTTCTCTCTCTCTTTTCTCCTGTTCTTGAATATCCTCTCCCCCAACACCTGCCTACAAAACAACCAACATTAATAACCTAGTGTGCGCCTCCATATGCACACATGCATATGCAGGTTTCTTGGTTAATGCTTTACAAAAACGGAATTTTACTTTCCTCCCCCAAGAGTACTTCATAGAAATTCTTCTAAGTCAACTTAGTGACACTGAAAATAGACAATTTCTAAAGTTAAAGAGGAATTTTCGATGGTTTTACAATATTACATATGTAAATATTTTGTAATATATTCAGTCATTTCTTAGTCAGGTATTAACTTTGTTTCCAGTTTTTGCCACAACAAACATTGTAGCAATAAAAATCCTATGTGCAAGTCTATACATACCAGTGTTTTTATTTCTATAGGAGTAATTTCTAGACCAAATGAAGGCAGTGATTCAGGATACTGGCCCGCTTGACGTCTTGATTCGGCATCTTCCTGGTCATAAAAGAGACAGCAGCACCCTTGACAGTTCCAATTCCGTGGCATGGTTTTTAGAATTGGTCCTGGAATTTCAGCTCAAAATCTATCTCCTTATCACTATTAATGAGTTTGTGAGAAAAGTATACAATTTAATAGATCTTTTCTTTTCTCTCTCTTTCCTTCCTTCTTTCTTTCTTTCTTTCTCTCTCTCTCTCTCTTTCTTTCTTTCTTTCTTTCTTAAGACAGAGTCTCACTCTGTTGCCCAGGCTGGAGTGCAGTGGTGCAATCTTGGCTCACTGCAGCCTCTGCCTCCTGGTTTTGGGCGATTCTCCTGCCTTGGCCTCTTCAGTAGCTGGGATTATAGGCACCCACTATCACGCATGGCTAATTTTTGTATTTTTAGTAGAGATGGGGTTTCACCATGTTGGCCAGCCTAGTCTTGAACTCCTGACCTCAACTGATCCACCTGCTTTGGCCTACCAAAGTGCTGGGATTACAGGCATGAGCCACCGTGCCTGGCCTCCAATAATCTTTTTCTCTTTGAACTAGCTAGAGAGGATTCAGTCGTCTATCACTAAAAGTCTTAGCTGATCCACCGTGTTTTAAATTTTAGTAAAGGACAGCAAAATATTTTGAATAAAATGCTGTCCGTAATCAAGATGATGACACACTCCCATCTTTGATAGAGAAAGGGCTTTGGGTTGCTTTTCCAGAAAAGGTAAAATATTAATACAAACCTATTAATTAATTTCTTGGGAGGAATTAACATTGCATGACTTATATTCAACTAGAAAGACCTGATTATCTTTCATCAGTGCTACTGCACAGTGGATGACCCAACTCCATGTAACTCCCTTTTCCTGAGACAGAGTTTTGCTCTGTTGCCCAGGCTGGAGTGCAGTGGTGTGATCTTGGCTCACTGCAACCTCCCCAACCCAAGTTCAAAGGATTCTCCTGCCTCAGCCTCCCGAGTAGCTGGGAGTGCACACCATGAGTAGCAAGTGAATGCCACCACCCCCAGCTAATTTTTGTATTTTACTAGAGGCAGGATTTCACCCTATTGGCCAGACTAGGCTGGTCTAGAACTCCTCAGCTCAGGTGATTTACCTGCCTTGGCCTCCCAAAGCGTTGGGATTACAGGTGTGGGCCATAGCACCCAGCCCCTCTTCCTTTATAAACGTGAGACTCGCCAGAAAGAAATGTCAGAGCTTCTTCATTCCTCTCCTATTATCCAACAAGATACATTGATTTCCTGATGTTGGTTGGTTGCTTTATGGGTACAAATAAAAGAAGAGAGACACAAGGCACTGTTTTTTTTAAAACCACGTATATGGCAGATTTCATTCAATAGCCATAAGAAAGACTGATTTGAAAACTTATGTCTTCCCGAGCCCCTCACCTTTTATATTTTTTTCTGAAACTTTCACACTTAAAAACAATCATGTGAAGATGTAAATAAAAGCCAAATCAAATAGTGCATCTGTTTAAATCATTTATTTCAATGCAGGCATTGTTTTAAATTTGCACCTTGTCTTGTAACACATTTCATACTCAGAGAACAGGTCTGAGAACAAGTACATAAAAGGATTATTTGACGAAGTTTTAACAAAAGTGCTTACAGCTTATTTGTTTCAGATACACAGAATTGCCAGTCACAAAGAGCCACTAAGTGGCAATACATTCCCAAACTTGCCTGGGAAGTAAAATATTTTACATATTTACACTGTACATTTAAATGGGATGTTCTGAAGCATCATTATCAATAAACTCTTAGCAAGAAGTTCTCTGAAACCCTTTGGCACTTAACAAAGGATATTGATTTTATGGAGATAAGAGTTTTCCAGTTTAATTCCCATCTTTGCCATAACCTAAGTGGATTTTTACTGCCCCCCAGTACACATATTTACCTCCTACACAGAGTAGCTTGTATTAGCTTATCACAGACCAAACCTTTGTTAGTAGCAGTTGGAATTTTGTTGGCATCAATGTATTTACAATATAAGAGTGAATTATTTAGAGGGGAGTCTCTAAAAATTAAAATATTATACCCTATTTTAAATGGACTTTACAGTATAAAATTTATGGTTATAGAAATCTAGTATCGAGACAAGTAATTTATAAGGTACTTATTAGAATTGATTCCCCCATGATTTACTCCATTTACATGAATGTTTATTTTAATAATGATCATATCTTTCAGAAAACAAGTTAGGAATATAAAAATGACTATTATAAGTTACCATAGCTATATCAAAAATGAACATTAAAATGCAGCGGCTTATATGTTAAAAATACATAGAAATTTGCAATACTTCTTTAACGAAGTGCTTTATAAAAGTATAAAACTGTAAAAGGTGCTATTTTCATGAATTTTATGTTTTCCTGATACTTGAGCTAGACCAACATGCAAACATTACAATAGTGCAATTGAACACCGGCCATCAATTGCCTTTGAATTTAAATAGTAGATTCCAGCACAGTCTGGGCCCCAAAGCAGTTTCATCCTTACCTAACTTATGTAACTGTTAATACAGCCTAAACTTACTGAAAAAAAAAGCTAACTTCATTTCACCTTTTGTGCATACACATAGACTCAGAGTATACACTGAAATATAATTTGAAAGCTGATCATTAAAAAACTCAGAGTTAATAATTAAAATATTAACTGAGTATCTTAAAATTGCGTAGAAAATGTAGGTCATGGTTTATAAAAGTTTTACTTAAATAATCAGATGAACAGTTCAGGTACAGCGGATCATGCCTCTAATTCCAGCACTTTGGGAAGTTGAGGTGGGCGAAACATTTGAGGTCAGGAGTTTGAAACTAGCCTGGCCAACATGGTGAAACCCCTGTCTCTACAAAAAATACAAAAATTAGCCAGGCACAGTGGTGGGCGTCTGTAATCCCAGCTACTTGGGAGGCTGAGGCAGGAGAATTGCTTGAACCCAGGAGGCAGAGGTGGCAGTGAGCCAAGATTGCACCACTACACTTCAGCCTGGGCAACAGAGCCAGACTCCATCTCAAAAAAAAAAAATAATAATAATAATAATAATCAGATAAATAGAAAAAGAAGAAAGGCAGAATTTACAAACATATATTAAATAAGAAATCAAGTGTTATTTATTCTTTACCATACATGTTTGCATTGAAAAGTTCACAATATTTGATTTTTGAGCTTTTTGAGCTCAGGATTGGTCAGAGCCTGAAGTTTAAAACCGTTGACAGATTTAGGGAATAGCTTTCATGTGACTTCGTCTTCATTAGCTTGGAGTTACATGGGCACCATGTAAACTAACCCCAGCATTTTGTATCTAAGTAAGACCATGATTAGAAGGACAATAATAATATAGTTCTTTCTTAAATCTCTATCAGTTCCAGATCTCCATACACATCACCAACACCTATCATTATTCTTAGTTTATAATGATGAAACAGGCTAGGTATGAAAAATGGAAAATAAGATTAGGTCACTAAGCAAACACAAACCAAACAAGATAAAATCCACTCCTGTTGACTATCGTAGTATCGAGATCAGGAACGCAGCTTTCTGTAGTTAAAGCGGATTATCCTCACTGCCATCTGTTGGTCTTTATCCTGAATTAGGAGAGAAATCCCCCGAGGCTCTGTGAGGCAACTAAAGAGTTAGGAAAGCCAAAATAAATCATGAGTGATTTACTCTAGATAAATTACTGAGAGAATCATAGTGACGGGCCCTTAGGAACTCTGCCTTAGAATTTCCCAAGGGCTTGGTAAATGATCCTGCAGAGAAGACCTGAATAGGGTGTAAGATCTGACTTGCTGGCATTTTAGGGGACTTGGCCAAGGTTCCCGCTTGATACTTAGGACTAACATGTTCCCCCTGAAAAGAAGTGTTCTACTTTCAATGAAAGAAAACGTGGGCTAGGCACAATGGTACACGCCTGTAATCCCAGCACTTTGGGAGGCTGAGGCGGGCGGATAACGTGAGGTCAGGAGTTTGAGACCAGTCTGGCCAACATGGTGAAACTCCGTCTCTACTAAAAAATAAATTAATTAATAAAACAAAATAAAAAAATTGCTGGGTGTGGTGGTAAGCGCCTGTAGTTCTAACTATTTGGGAGGCCGAGGCAGGAGAATCGCTTGAACCTAGGAGGAGGAGGTTGCAGTCAGCCGAGATTGGACCAAGTAACAAGAGTGAGTAACAAGAGTGAGTAACAAGAGTGAGACTCTGTCTCAAAACAAAAAAAAAAAGGCTGGGTGCGGTGGCTCACGCCTGTAAACCTAACACTTGAGAGGCCAAGGTGAGCTATTGCCTGAGATTAGGAGTTCAAGACCAGCCTGGGCAAATGGTGAAACCCCATCTCTACTAAAATACAAAAATATTCGTCGGGCGAGGCGGTGTGCGACTGTGATCCCAGCTACTTGGGAGGCTGAGGCAGAAGAATTCCTTGAACCCAGGAGGTGAAGGTTTCAGCAAGCCGAGATTGTGCCACTGCACTCCAGCCCAGATGACAGAGCAAGACTGTGTCTCAAAAAAAAAGCAAAACAAAACAACAAAAAAAAAAACAAACAAAAAAAGAAACTGTGAAAATGGACAGCTCTGAGGAAATGGGAAAAACCAGTTGCTGAGAGAGCTGCAGTAACAGTAAGTCAATCCCACGAAGAGATGCCCACTTCCTGTCTCTGCTCCTCAGCTGTGTTCTCTTCACAAGCAGAAATCTGTGACCAGGAAGCTCTCTGTATGGTGAGGCTGCCTGGCCTAAGTCCTTGGCTTATCTAAAAGGCCTTAATAATCCCCCACAGTTTCAGAGGAATTTCTAGGACTGCTAATCTTCTGTGCGTTTACCAGGGATTCAGGTCCTCATCTATAACCTCAATAGGTGCTTCGACCATGTGCCTCGCAGGCTCCACTATGGATATAACAGGATGTACTTAGAACATTCCTTTATTTTTGGGTTTGTTTTTTCCTTTTTGCAATCAGTTTCTCATGTTAAAAAAAAAATTCCTTTATCTTTGTTTGAAAGAGAAAATCACCACCTGAAACTTCCTAAATGTTCATGAGTCAAACAGGATGATAACATTTATCCCATTGTTATCGTTCCTACCTTTTTTTTTTTTTTTTGAGACGGAGTTTCGCTCTTGTCACCCAGGCTGGAGTGCAATGGCGCGATCTCGGCTCACCGCAACCTCCGCCTCCTGGGTTCAGGCAATTCTCCTGCCTCAGCCTCCTGAGTAGCTGGGATTACAGGCACGCGCCACCATGCCCAGCTAATTTGTTGTATTTTTAGTAGAGATGGGGTTTCACCATGTTGACCAGGATGGTCTTGACCTGGTGATCCACCCGCCTCGGCCTCCCAAAGTGCTGGGATTACAGGTGTGAGCCACCGCGCCCGGCCCGTCCCTACCTTTTATTTAATGTCATGAGCATAAGGTGTGGACCCGAAGAACCAATACAGAGTTTTGCAGTTGTGCGGGGTAATGCGTAAGTCTTGTATGTACCTGGAGTACTAGGGCTGTAAATCACAATTCAAGATGAAAAATGTTAGGAGGGAAGGAAAGCAGAAAGCCCAAATCAGAGAGTGAATTAGGGATCAAGTGGGAGTGGTGGAAAGGCAGGCCAAGAACATTTACAGAGAGAGAAAAATAGCAGACTCTCTCAGAACAAGAATTCATCGTTCTAGCTTTCAGGAAATGTCTATAGTGGGTGTGGAGGGAAAAAAAAAGGAGATGTGGGACATTTCAGAGCAGACACTGCCCAGACTAGATCTTTTATCCTCCCGTGCATGTGCACATATACACCTCAGTTCCATTTTAAGCTTTTGGTGGAAAAGGTAAAGCATTTTATTGAAAAGCCTCACAGTTCTGACTCTTTGTCCTTTTCATCCAGGTAGTATTCATCATCTGTGGTTGTGTCTGTATCACAATCTGAGTCCACTGGATCGTCTTCATAGATATTAAGTGGTTCACTTGGAGATAAGCCATCTTCTGGCATCTGACTACTGGGAGAATTTGAGCTTAAGGACTCTGAGGGGTTGGGAGGGTTCATCGAATCATCTTTCAGGAAGCCCGGGTTCTTAAGAAAACTCGGTTTCCACAATCTTCCTTGTGTAAGTGACCTCTTGACATTCTCTAAGAAAGCTAACTGTTGCTCTTTTCCAAAGATCCCATAGTCGATAGGTCTGCATATAGATGTTGCAGACTTGGGACCTGCTTTTGTCCTGCTGCGAAAAGTCCAACTTTCATTTCCATCACTGGAGGGGAGTTCAGAAAAAGATTTGAATCTTCGACTGTACCCACTGTTGACAGAGAATTCATTCCCAAGGGTCAGTCGACTCAGGGCATTGTCAACAGAAGTGCTTTCAGAAAAATGGCGCTCCCTGACTTTCGGAGGATGACTTTTTCGTAGCAGATTGCCATGCACATTAATGCTTTTTAAACTCTTTGAACGATAGATGTGTGGCTCAAGCTCCCACTCCAGAGATGAAACACTCATTTGTTGCTGTGGAAAACTGGCCAGCGGGATGCTCACTCCAGACTTCCGTGCAGGCGCCAGTGGAAAAGGAGGGTTCAGCCTCCTCTGATCGTCAGAGAATTCTACTTCCCTGAGGCTGGTGAATGTGAGCGGGGATGGGGCTCCTGATTCTCTTTCTAAATTCTGAGCTACTGTGACGTCTTTAGAATTCTCATGCTGTGGTTGTGATTCTGGGACATTGTTAAACTCATTCTGATGTCGTTGTGAGATGCTGCTGGGCTTCTGGTTGCTGGCGTGTGTAGAAGTTTCTCTGTCGGGTAGTACAGGAGTGGGCAGAGGCTTCTCGGACTTCTCCATGGGCATCCCATCCTCACTCAACCCGCTTTCACCTCTGGATTCTGCAGACTTTGGAGTAGGCTCAGGGAAGAGTGGGTTGCACTCCACTGTGCCAATAGGTAAATGGTCCGAGCCAGACCTACTCCTACCTTTGGGGAAGATAGTAGCTACATGTCTTCTAGGGCTTACATCGTTCGCTGGGAATTTTCTGCTTGCTTTAGACATGGCTGCCAATCTGTGTTTACCTGAACACCGATTCTCCCCCTTTACTAGGTCTTCCAAGGTGGTTTTATTTTTATTGCTTCCTTCAGGAAGGGAAGGTTGAGCCCAGGCTAACTGCATTTCATCTTCAGCCTTCCTGCTCTCTGCCATATTTGCCTTCTGACTTCCTTGAGGTAATTCTCTCGGTCCAGACTGCAGATTCCCTGAGTCTGGTTCATCTGACCGAGTCTCCTCACCGAGCCGTAGTTTATGCAGGGCTGGAGTAAGAGCGAAGACTTGGCTCTCTGAGTGAGAAAGTGTTTCATTCGTCGTTTTTTGGCGGTTGGTTTCAATGTCCCCTCTGCCTCCCCTCGGCTGTGAGCCATTGGAGCCGTCACCTACAGCTGTGGCTATGTGATCTTCCTGAGGACACTTCCCACTTCCGGTAAATGGAATGGCTCTGCCACTCCCCGTACACTCCCAAGAACTTCTTCTGGTTTGGGAACTTCCAATATTATTTTCTGAAAGAGCTGGAAGACTAGAGGGACCACCGTCACTTGAATTAATGGATTGTTGGCAATTTTCGGATCTTTCTTCAGAAACATTTTTTCCCTGAAACGTCAATAAAGTAGGCAGGGTTTCACTTTGCAATTCTTTGCCTCCTTCTTTCTTGTTTCCTGAATCCTCTAAGGGTGTTTTAGCTAAATCATCTGAAAAAATCTCTCTAACTTTAGCTTCCTCTTTAGGAAGAGAAACAGCTGCCTCAGTAGAAGCCATTTCCTGTAATGCAGGCTCTAGGAGCCCCCTGCTTGGTAATCGGAAGGCAGCCATATTTTCAGTGGTCAGACTCTGATCAGAGTTGACTGACATCTTTAGATCTTCACACGAAGGTGTTCCTGGCTGCTCTCGTCTAGAATAATTCTGTGCGTCGTTTTCTAAAGCATTAGGAAATGTTTCAGTCTCCACTTGAGGTGAGTCTATAAGTGAATCAGTATTTTGTGTATACTGTTGGAGGAGGTTACAGAATTTTTTGCTGGGTTTCCTTGGCAGAGTGTAATAGATTGAGACCACCTCCAGACATTTTACATTATCTTCATCACCAGAAACAGAAAACATACTAGTTGTCTTAACTTTATGTAAAGTTTTTTCCCGTTCTTTTCCTGACAAGTCTGAACGAAAAGGTAAAGGGTCTTCATTTGAAAGGGCAAACACACTTCTCCTGGAGGCAGCCATTTTACCTTCCTTCTCAGTGCATTCTTGGAAGTTTTCCTTTTGGTGGCGTCTTTTGGTTAAAGAACAGTCTCTAACAGATGAGTCACTTTCCAAAGGGCAAATAATTCTCTCCCGAAGCCTTGGTGTTAGCTCAGAAGCATCCGTGCCTGAGGCCAATGTCTTTTCTCTTTCTTCTCTTCCAGTTGAGGCATGTGGCTCCCCTGAGGGACATGACGTCGCCCTCTTGGTGAGGAATGGAAGTGGTCCTTTTCTAAAAGAAGTAGATCCACCGTTTTTCACATTTGTCATTCTCTCTGTGGTTTCAGGTGCTCCCAGGGCTGAGTCTGAAATGACTTTGGAACATTCAGTCACTGACTCAGGAGAACTGGAACTAAATTGGTTTAATGCACAGTTCCCCATTGTATCTTCCACATTATGTTTGATTTGGAAGGGAAGTGGCCCATTCCTCAATGAAGCAGCCATTATTTGACTTCCTGACTTTCTGCTATGTATGAGAAAACTGCTTGATTTTCTCGGCAAGGTACAGTAAATTGTGTCAAGCTCAGAGGCTTTGGAATTGCTTTGATTTGCTTCAACGAGGCTCCTGCAATCACTGGTGGGTACTGCTCTATTTTCTGTTTTGCTTAACTTTTCAATACAGGATACACGATGACTTATTTTTCCTTTTCCCCTTCTGGTCCTAAAAGGAGAGTGTGAATGGCATTTGACAACATCGGCCACTTCATCATGTGCAGGCACATGACTATCATTTCTCTCTTGGCTTTCTGAGTGACTTAGGACAAACTGATTATTTTGGTCTTTTTCTTCTCTTTCTCCCAGTGATGGATCTTTGTCTGAAGGACTTCTCCTGGAGAACACTGTAGTAGATGGAACCACAGGAGCATCAAGGGAAGAATTATTGGAGGGTGAGGAATCTGGTATTGCAGTTGTTGATAGAGCTGAAGAATCACACGAGGTCTTGTGGCCAGCAGCCAACTCGCCACAGTTGGTAGAATGAATTGCAGGACATTGTTCTCCCTCAGTGTCTAAAATAACAGGCTTTTCTAGAGATTGTGCATTTTGAGTGTCAGTCGGTGCAGAGCTCCAGTGGTTGTCTGTAATAATGCCTGAAATATCTTCATTAGTTACAGTTAATTCCTGGTGACAACCTTGGTCTGGCCTGGGGAGAGACGGTGGTGTTCTGTGTTCCTGAATGAAAGGAAGGGAAGCTGTCGAGCCAAGTTTTCCGTTCCCGTTAAACCTCTTATCTTGTTTAATGTCATTGGATTTCTCTTTATACGATATATACGTTTTGGAGGTATCTTTCCGGGAAAGGACTCTGGGTGACTTTTTTGAACTTGCTGTGGTAGATGCATTAAAATCAAACCTGTTGCCCTTGGCTGAGTCCTGGGAGAAGGGATTTTGAAAATCAGGGAAAGGGTTTGAGATCCCTGTCTGTGAAACAGGTTGGGGTATTTCACCTGCCTTCTTTGTCTGGTCCATCTTGCTTAGCTGTCTGTCTTCTTTTGAGATAAATTCATTTAAGTCGTTCTCACTGTTTACTTGTGTGATATTGAGCTGGCTTTTGGCAAGAGGCAGAGAGTCAGTTGAATTGCTGCCGGTCGTAGTGACTTCTGCATGGCCTCTCATTGGATGAGAGGCAGGCTTATTAAGAACAATTTTCGGCAAAGTGCCCGTGGGATTCTGCAAGTTGGAACTCTGAGAATTCCTTCTGTCATCAGAAATCTGGGAAAAGGACGTTTTGAATGAGGGTGCTAGAGTCTGAGCAATTCCAAATGAGGAAGCTTCTTTGTTTATATGTACCTCTACAGGAGAACTGTCCTCCTGTTGACTTACCAACTCACCAGACTCGATGTGACAGCTTGAACCAGTCATGGAGCAAACATTTGGCATGCCAAAATGAGTAGTCAACTGGCTCTCATTACCATGTGATACCTCCATCCTCTCCAGTGTGGATGTCTGAAAATCAAACTGCCAGGGAGGTGGCTCTTCTTGGCCTCTGGAAACATCTGTTCCATAACCAGAAGAAAATGATTCCCAGTGTTCAGAAGAAACACTATGGCCATGAATAGCCGATGCACTATTTGCTTCCATGGAAATCATTTCAAAGTCTCTGTCAGAAGAACTGAATGAATTCCTGCTGCGATGAAAGTCAGACCAGGAAGAATGTCCTTTCTGTTGACCCCCAAAAGGACTTTGTCCAAATCTCCTGTGTTCTCTGCTTTGTCCAAAGGTACTGCTGAAGAAAGATCTGGCAAATGGGTTGTTTTGATGGTAGGATGGCATATTCTCGGAGTTCTCAAAAGTGTCGGGACTCATTGCATTCTCCAAGGGGGCATTTAAACTAACACGGTGGTAAACGTTCTGTGAATGGTATGATTCATAGCTCCGACTCTCCTGAAAATACCTGGGATACACATACTTGTCAGCAGGGTCAATTTCCATTGGTGATGGTGCCCTCAGGAACTCTGCCTGGTTCTGCCTATCTCTAGAGAAATCCGATCTGTTCCATATGATGGATGATAAAGGAGTTCTCTTTGGACTCTGCCGGTGCCTTAGTGGTACAAACACACTCTTGTTCTGAGTTGTGGCTGGAAAATGTAAGCTTCTTGCTGTGAAATGCCCTGTGGCTGGTAAGGCCGACCGTTGCCTACTGTCAAAACACAGCGAAGTACTCCCAAAAGTATTCTTTTGCACATGATCTTCTTTAAAGGCTCTGGGCTCCCTTGTCCTATACATATCATAAATTGTCCTTGTCCTAGGAGAAAAGGTTTTAAAACCTTCCCTAGGAGTTCCTGGTCTTAGGATGTCATAGATAGACATATTGGAAGTGTCATTATAGTGTTTTTTGTGCCTTTCTGTGATATTACCACGTCTGTTCCCGCTGGAGTAAAAATGACTAAACTGTGTTCTTGATCCATAGTTGAGGGGCGTTCTGGGGTTCACTGAGCCTGCAGACTGTTCCTGAGCCAATGTGCTATCCAAGTCATCTAAAACTGAAAAGAGAACGTGAATCAACTTTTCTGTATATGTTTTCACAGTTTAGTAATGATTTGAATTATTGAAAGCTCCGTTTTAAGAAACATAATCATTTATAATTTTTTAATCATATCAAAAACGTAATTTTCATTATCTTTCTAAGATAGACTGACTTTTACAAGAATATAGTGAAAATTTCTTTCCTACTTTTTCAAATCACATTTTTTCAAAGTAAACCTTCCATAATTCCTTAAGACAATAGAACTATATTTTTCTAACAATGAATTTTAATCATGGTTTCTTTTAGTGCATCTAAAATGTACTGAGTTTTTCCAAGATATGGGCTAGTAATCAAAAAGAATGAATAATGCAGACATTGCATGATTAGATAATTGCTGGTATTATTAAGCCTTGTCTTTCTGTTTCTTTCCTGTCACTAGGTTGCTACAATATTTCCACCTGTGTATACCTCCTGGGATCATAATAGACATGAGCCTCTTACAGAGCATATGATTTCTGTGTTGTACTGTTAAGAAAACAGCCTTTTTGGCCAGGCAAGGTGGATCAAGCCTGTAATTCCAGCACTTTGGGAGGTCGAGGTGGGCAGATCACCTGAGGTCAAGAGTTCGAGACCAGCCTGGCCAACATGGTGAAACCCTGTCTCTACTATAAATACAAAAATTAGCCAGGCGTGGTGGTGCACACCTGTAATCCCCGCTACTCAGGAGGCTGAGGCAGGAGAACTACTTGAACCTGGGAGGCAGAGGTTGTAGTGAGCTGAGATCGTGCAATTGCACTCCAGCCTACGTGACAGGGTAAGACTCTATAGCAAAAATAAGGAAACAGTATTTCCACTAAAAGTTTACACCTAATTTATGAACATACTTAGTTGGATGGATTTGAGCAGTATATATAATTAAAAGTGCTATATAATATTATTAAATAATATGCCAATGTTAGATTTTTTTTCTGGAAAAATTAATATCCATTAATATGCCTATAAGACAGCACTTTCTGTGTGTCAGGCAGAATCCTAAACACTTAATATATTAGTTCATTAAATCCTCACGCAACCTGAGAAGGTTGGTCCTATTACTCTTCTTATTCTATAATGAGGAAACGGAAGCAAGAAGAAATTAAGTAAATTGCTAAGATCGCACAGCACTGGGATTGGAACCCAGACGGTCTGTTTCCTGAGTCCATGCATGCAACCACTGTGCAATGCAGCCTCTTTGTCGTAAGAGCTCACTTTTTATTTTCTGCTCTTTATGGACTATACAGATGATTTTACTATGAGATGAGCTGATGGTTTTACAAAGACATGAAGTTGCTATTGTCAGATAATTATTACTTTTCTCTCAGTAGCAAACTCAGGGAGTGGTGTCAAAGCCAGTGACCAGGGACCTCTTTATGATAACTGAAGACCTGGACCAAGCCCAGACCCAGGGCTCATGCTCTCTAGGACCACAGCCTCTGTGATCTCAGACAAGCCACAACATCCTTCTGGGGACACAGTTGGTTTTTCTTTGAATTTTATTAATTTAATTGTATGTGACATCTTTTCCTCAATTAAAACCCATTAGACTTTGAATAGAATCATAATCCTTTGAGGTTTGTAGACTCTTTAAGACCCACTCTATAGTAGTATAATTTACCATATTTATGTTCAATAAGTATGAATAAATTACAGATTTGATTTTACCTGTATAATGACAAGGAAAGTAAGTGTCTGAGCATACATAGGTGAAATGTACGTGCAACATGCCAATTATGTTAGCACAGCTGCTAAAGGGATTTTTAAAAATCTGTTGTGGATTTTCCCTACCCTATTTTAACTGCAAGTTGGTGCTATTAAGTTTGTACAGCCAAAAGAAAAACTGATCTTGAACATTAAGGATATGTAATTAAGGAATCCTTTAGGGAATAATCTGCCAATGTTTTCATAAAAATATTTATTTACCCCTCCTAGGGCCTGAAGTCATTTGTTCCCTATGGCCACAATAAAATAATTAAGCAATGCTGTAGTATAAGGTGGGGCAAAAACAAAACAAAACAAAGCCGCATAATGAATAAAAATCTATCTTTAAAACAAATCATAATGAAAATCTCTTTGATAGCCATTCTCCCTTTCAAGCTGTTTATGTTTTCCTTTCCCCTTAAAGCCGTGGCTGACCACAAGAGCAAAATGTAGTTAGAACAGAAAATACAGAAAGGTATAACAAAATAGGTCAAATCACCAGGAATTCTACCTAGAGGTAACCACTCTTAACATCTCCATGACAGGATTTTAAATTAAAGCCACTTCGAGTCCCAGATTAACAATGCTGTTTTACTCACCACTCCTGAGGTCAGAAACATTCCTGTTCTGCTTCTCTACTTTATTTTCAGAAAGGCCACATTATTATTATCATTTTCATTCCATAAACAGTAGCTCTCCTTTTCCAACAAAACCTTATTTTGGATCAGTGATTTTCCTCTGGTCTCTGCCAGGAAGCATCTTACTGAAGAAAGCCCTGAGGTTGACCGTCCTGCTGACGGTCTCTCCCCGACTGCTGTCCCACAGGATAAGGGCCAGGCGATGACATTGCCTTTGCAAGTTAAACTTAGTTCCTCAAGGTGAAGCTGGTGATAACTTCAGAGTTAACTTTTCAAATGGCTGGGCTTATACAGAATAACCTTTGTACAAGTGAACTATCATCAGATAACGATAAGATACATGTGCATTTGGAATGCCACTGCTTTTGGAACCTGTTTCAGTTTTTACTGTTGTGCAAGGTTAATTGTTTAGTGACAATTAGATTTTGTCACAGGGCATTTGGGTCCTAATCTGGGACAATAAAAGTCTCTATTAAACAGTAAACTTTGTAGATGCGTTTCCTAAAGATGTATTTCCTTTTTACCTGAGGTTAAATATTTGTTTATTTATTTTTCTGAGATGGAGTCTTGCTCTGTCGCCTAGGCTGCAGTGCAGTGGTGTGATCTAGGCTCACTGCAACCTCTGCCTTCTGGGTTCAAGTAATTCTCTTGCCTCAGCCTCCCAAGTAGCTGGGATTACAGGCACATGCCACCATACCCAGCTAATTTTTATTTTTAGGTAGTGATGGGGGTTTCACCAAGTTGGCCAGGCTGGTCTCGAACTCCTGACCCCTGAGGTTAAATATTAAACATTATTACTATTCCATATATTTATTGGTCCTTGATTTGAGAATATTTGCTTAGATTATATTTAATCATAAGGTTCTTAATACTTGTGTTAATAACATATATCAGCATCGTTTTCAAATAAGCGAAACAAGAGGACTTAAAAAATAAAGTACAGCATTTGATACGTTGTGAGTCCTTTAATACAAACTGGTTATTGTTTGCTTCCTTTAGTACCAGTTGTTGCAAAGGCAATTTAATGGACGAACTTACCTTGGAAAAACTCATTCTCCAGCAGTGAAGTGTCCCATGGTGGAGGCATGCCACTCTCCTCCCTCATGACTGCTGGCTTGGGGACAAATGCACTGTGGACTAGTTGATTTTCCAGGGGTGAATTGTATATTTTTGCCTGCTAATTTTAAAGTAGAGAACAATATTATTTCTGAGCCTTCACCAGTCAAAATACTCACACATTCCCACAAAATGTCCCACGCTTAAAAGTTTTAGTCTACACACTACAAATCCATTTTTCTATTATTTATTTCTCAATTTATAATGTGTTGTTTTTGCCATTTGAACTTCTCTATACCTACTTTAATTCTTCCAATGATGAGTCTTTCAGGCAAGGTACTGAGCCTCTTTCTGCCAAAGTTTCCTACAAACTTACATAGTGCTGTCACAGGTGTTTGAATCAGAGCAACTCCAGCTCGAATAGGGGCTGGGTAAGATAAGGCCGAGACTTACTGGGCTGCATTCCCAGCTGGTTAAGGCATTCTAAGTCACAGGATGAGATGGAAGGTCAGCCCAAGGTACAGGTCACAAAGACCTTGCTGATAGAAACAGGTTGCAATAAAGAAGCCAGCTAAAACCTACCAATACCAAGATGGCGACAAGAGTGACCTCTGGTCATCCTCACTGTTCCACCAGCACCATGACAGTTTACAAATGCCAAGGTCAGGAAATTATCCTATATAGTCTAAAAAGGGGAGGCATAAGTAATCCACCCCTTGTTTAGCATATCATCATGAAATAACCATAGCAACGGGCAACCAGCAGCCCTCAGGGGCTGCTCCGTCTATAAAGTGGCCATTCTTTTGTTCCTTTACTTTCTAAATAAACTTGCTTTTGCTTTACGAACTCGCCCTGAATTCTTTCTCATGAGAGATCCAAGAACCCTCTATTGGAATCTGGATCTGAACTTTTGTCGGGTAACATCCTCTTGTCAACTACAGACAGGACCATACTTAGGAAACTCCCGAACCAAAGAGTAACTTCGGGTAAGTGGTGGGATGTGGTAACAGCACTACACAGATCTTAGCGGGGCACTCCTGGGAGAGAGGAAAGAAGTGGACCTCTCTTGAGTTTGGAGTGCTGCTCCATGGCTCCAATGGCTTGGATTTTAGATTTCCTAGCATTGTACCCAGTTATCGAGAGCCTGTTGGCTAGAACTCACAGTGGACCTTCAGATTCGCGAACTTGACCGCGTGCAGTGGCTCACACCTGTAATCCCAACACTTTGGGAGGCCGAGGTGGGCAGATTACTTGAGGTCCAGAGTTCCAGACCACCCTGGCTAACAAGGTGAAATCCTGTCTCTACTAAAAATACAAAAATTAGCTAGATGTGGTGGCCGGTGCCTGTAATCCCAGCTACCCTGGAGGCTGAGGCAGGAGAACCGCTTAAACTCAGGAGACGCAGGTTGCAGTGAGCCAAGATCTGGCCACTGCACTCCGGCCTAGGTGACAGAGCAAGACTCTGTCTTGGGAAAAAAAAAATTATATGTGTGTGTGTGTGTGTGTGTGTATACATATATATATATAAATTAGCTGGACATGGTGGCAGATGCTTGTAATCTCAGCTACTCAGGAAGCTGAGGCAGGAGAATCACTTGAACCCAGGGAGGTGGAGGCTGTTGTGAGCTAAGATAGCACCTCTGCACTCCAGGCTGGGAGACAGAGCAAGACTCCGTCTCGAAAAAAAAAAATTGTGAACCTGACGGATTTAGGGAGAAAAATGTGTTTCTATCAGAGGTCATCTAGAATAGGGGTCCCTGACCCCTGGGTCATGTACTGGGTACTGATCTGTGGCCTGTTAGGAATCAGGCTGCACAGTGTGGGGTGAGGGGTGAACATTACTGCCTAAATTCTGTCTCCAGTCAGGTCAGCCCAGGGATTAGATTCTCAAAGAAGCATGAACCAATGAGTTCTAAATTTCTCTTCAAAGGATCAGGATGTCAGTATGTTCAGTTCTGTGTCCTCCATTTTAAAGTTTAAATTCCTTGTAGTTTCAGTAAACAACCTTTTCTGCCAGTTCTAATCAGTAGTTCACATCTTTTTCCCTGGTCCCCTGCTCTGTCCTGACTCATCCCAGTCACCTGCTCCAGTCACCCGCTTTGACCTGAGTCACCCCTGGTTACCTGCCCTTAACCATCCTTCCTGCCAAACTACCTACCCTTCCACTCTGGCTGGTACCCCTGCTTTCTTTAAAATAGCCAATTGGAATTAGCCTAGACTGTGTAGTGTAACCCTAGCCAGTAGGGGAATGGCACAGCAGTAGGGGCTACCTCTGTCAGGAATAAGTTCCCTTCCCCTCTGAGTCCAGGTGTGCACTCGCCATTGTTCCATTTGTGAGCTGCACCCTTCTAAAGAAGTAAATTGCCTTGCTGAGAAAATTTATATTCGAGTGCTACTTCTTTTGCGGCATTGAAAGTTTACATATCACACTACTGTGAATTGCACATGCCAGGGATCTAGGTCGTGTTCTTCTTATGAGAATCCAGCTAATGCCTGATGATCAGAGGTGGAACAGTTTCATTCCCAAACCACCCCCTTCAGTGAAAAAGTTGTTTTTCAGAACGTGGGTCCCTGGTGCCAAAAAGGCTGGGGACTGCTGGTCTGGAATGGTAGAATCCCTCAGGCTGTCGTAAGGAGCTGACTTGGTAGTTCTGAAAAAAAGGCATTCAAGAATATGACTGTATAAATAACCAATGATGTAAATAAATCTATTGCTAATTTTTCAGTGAAAGGATTTAAGAGAATGACATAAAACTAAATTTGTTTGCCTCTATTATTTATTTTATTTTATTTTACTTTTTTAAGACAGAGTCTCACTCTGTTGCCCAAGCCAGAGTGTGGTGGTGTGATCTCAGCTCACTGCAACCTCCACCTCCCTGGTTTGAGAATTCCCCTGCCTCAGCCTCCTGAGTAGCTGGGATTACAGGCATGTGCCACCACATCCAGCTACTTCTCTTGTATTTTTAGTAGAGACAGAGTTTCACCATGTTGACTAGACTGGCCTCGAACTCCCGATCTCAGGCAATACCCCTGGCTAGGGATTCCCAACGTGCTGGGATTACAGGCGTGAGCTACTGAGCCCAATTATTATTACTCTATTTTACTAGCAAGTGTTTGTCTTGATGTCATAAAATCCAGTCATTGCTCTACTTTCAAGCTTTTATTTGTCTTCATAACCTTGAGGACATTATCCACTCCCATGCCTTCACTTTCTTGTGCCAAAACCCCATTTGCATTTCCTCTGTCAAACTGGCTCTGTCACTCACGACTCCACGTTAACTCATGCCGCACTCACCCACTTCCCTTTCCAGTCTTGATCTTCAGCTCACTCTGCTACCCAGTCCTTGTCTCTTGAATCCCTCTTCCCACCTCAAGATTTCCCTTTCCAGTTGACCTTCACCGCTACACTTTTATCTCATCTTTCTTTCTTTTTTTTTTTTTTGAGACGGAGTTTCGCTCTTGTGACCCAGGCTGGAGTGCAATGGCGCGATCTCGGCTCAGCACAACCTCTGCCTCCTGGGTTCAGGCAATTCTCCTGCCTCAGCCTCCTGAGTAGCTGGGATTACAGGCACGCGCCACCATGCCCAGCTAATTTTTTGTATTTTTAGTAGAGACGGGGTTTCACCATGTTGACCAGGATGGTCTCGATCTCTTGACCTCGTGATCCACCCGCCTCGGCCTCCCAAAGTGCTGGGATTACAGGCGTGAGCCACTGCGCCCGGCCATCTCATCTTTCATACCTAAGAGCACGTCGACCTTTCCAAATCTCCAGCTTCTTAAGTTCTCCATCACAGGTCTGTCCGATTCCCCAGCGCAGGTTCTCTTACCCACTACATTCCTCGTGACCTTGTATTTTCACTCCTGCTTGTTTTCTTTCTCAAGGTCTAGGTCACTTATTTCCTACAGAAACCTGCTCAAATTTCATTGACCTATAGTTGTCATTGTATGAGTAAGCCACAATTGACTACTCATAAAGAAGATTTATTAATAAGGAAGGAGCGCTACCATGATAGCTTATTGGTCATCAAATATAATTTAATATAAAATTCAGAAGTAAACAAATATTAAATGCAAAACACAACTACAGTGGGATGCTGATTGGAGGTAATAAAACCTAAAACTAACCATTTGAGAAATCAGATCAGTTAAAGTTAATTCTTACCCTACATCAAAGTGTTCCCTCTTGTCTGTCCAATTCGGAGATTACCTTACATCAATAATTGTTATTATTAGCGATAACAATTAGACACATATCTTATAAATCCATTCTTCTCAAATCTGCAATTTTGATAGTTGGTGCAAAGTAGATATATCTGATTAAGAGAACATCAGGCATAATTCTCTCTCAATCATTTAACACCCAAATAATCTTTTCTCTATGTATGTAGACCAGTACATTCCTTGTGGCCCCCAGGATCACGTTCCTTTGTAATGATAATTCACAACGAAATGAAAAGTACATGAACAGAGGGGTCGTGCGAAGAGATGACCCTCTCCAGGCTGGGAAGAATCACTGTCCTCTACAGACCCTGAGTATAATTTCCTTTGGTTTTATTTCTGCCCAGATCCTCTACTTCAAGACCCACCCTACTCAAGCAACATGTCCAGGATGCTTTCAACACACAGAGATGTAAATTATATAGCTAACAAGAGAAAATACCGAGGTTTCATTTACACTCATCTGTAATTCTGCAAGGGTGACGTTAGTGATTAAAAAAAAAAGAAGCAGCTGTGAGTCAATAGTAGGTATCAGACATCAAATATTGAAAACTATCCCTCCCTATAGACTCCTAACTTTTATTTAAGCTATGTGTGAGATATTATTATTGTTGCTGTTAGCAGCAATTCAACATTGATTATCCTAGACAAGAAAACTGAGGATTCAAGAGGTCAGGTCATTAGTCTCTGGTCACATTGGTGGAGGGAGGGGATTTATTTCCAGTCTGTCAGATTCCAGAGCCAATGCTAAAATACTTCATTCTACTCATGATCAAGTTCTGCAGCTCTTGGCCTATTAGTGCATTACATCCTTGTAGTAGGCATTCTCTGAAACCAAATACAGGTCATAGAGCTGCTGGGAGGCACCTGGAATTTCTTGTGACCTAAAAGTGAAGTAAATCC